AAAGCTGACGTAGTCGGGGTTATAAATATCACATCACCTATTCCATTTCCAAGACTAGTAAAACAGAAACAAACCAAGATAAGAGATATGGGCTGCCTGTATTTCTTGTATTCATATTTGTGAGCGTTGACCCAAAATTCAAGTTCACGTTGGACAACCAGAAATGACGTAGCATATATACAGTACCGACCAAGGATTCGGGCTTATAAATTTGTCTTATTCCTCAGAGTTCAAAAACAGAAAAGAAAAAAGAAACCTAAGAGATATGGTTTCCCAATTCCATCTATTGCCTCAAACATTTGCCATTATATTCTCTCTTCTTGTATGCATATTTGTGAGCGTTGAGCCAGCCATACCAAAGCCAAGCATTGCCACGGACAAGGAGGCTTTGATCTCATTCAAGTCAGGGGTCAGTCTCCCTCCATCTTTTTGGGACCAAAATTCGTCTCCATGCACCAACTGGACTGGAGTTGTTTGCAACAAACTTGGCAACAGAGTTGTTGCTCTTCATCTTTCCGGCTTGGGACTTACAGGCTCCATAAGCCCCCATATTGGTAACCTCTCCTTCCTCCGTTCCCTTCAACTTCAAAACAACAAATTAACAGGAAACATTCCCTCTCAAATTCTTCACCTTTTCCGCTTGACATCTCTAAACTTGAGCTCCAACACCATACAAGGTCCCCTGCCATCAAACCTGACCCAATTGACTGCCCTCCAAACACTTGACTTGGCCTCAAATAACATCACAGGAACACTTCCTGAAAATCTCAACAGCTTGAAAAATCTTCAAGTCTTGAATTTGGCACGAAACAATCTCCATGGTCCAATCCCACCATCCATAAGCAACCTCTCTTCCACCCTCACACATTTGAACTTAGGCACAAATAGTCTCAGTGGTACGATACCGAGTGAATTGGGTTTCCTTTACAAACTCAAGGAACTTGATCTTGCAGGTAACCAACTCACTGGGACTGTTGCCCTGTCCATATACAACATCTCTTCTCTAGTTCTCTTCACTGTAGCTTCAAACCAACTGTGGGGTGAGATTCCAAGCAATATTGGTCACACACTTCCAAATCTTCTATACTTCAGAAATTGTTTTAATCTATTCACCGGAAATATTCCAGTGTCTTTGCACAATATCTCCGGCATTCGATCAATTCGAATGTCCAACAACTTTCTTGAAGGAACGGTTCCACCAGGCCTAGGGAATTTGCCATTCCTTGAAATGTACAACATTGGTTTCAATCGGATTGTTAGCTACGGTGGTGATGGTCTCAGTTTCATCACTTCCTTAAGAAACAGCACCCGTCTCCAATTCCTTGCAATCGATGGTAATCATTTAGAGGGTGTGATTCCAGAGTCTATTGGAAACCTCTCCAGGGTTATCGAAAAATTGTACATGGGAGGGAACCGCATTTTCGGTCACATACCCTCCTCAATTGGTCAACTCAGTAGCTTGACTTTGCTTAATGTAAGCTACAATTTGATCTCTGGCGAAATCCCACCTGAAATAGGCCAGCTGGAAGAATTGCAAGTGCTTAGTTTAGCTGCAAACAAACTGTCTGGTCATATTACAAACTCCTTAGGTAATCTCAGAAAGCTGAACAACATTGATTTATCCAGAAATTCCTTTGTTGGCCATATACCCCCTTCCTTTGCAAACTTTCAGAAGTTGCTTTCCATGGACTTATCCAACAATTTGCTCAATGGAAGCATTTCTACAGAAATATTTCAAAACCTCCCTAGTTTGAGCACCATTCTGAATTTGTCTAACAACTTTCTGAGTGGTCCTTTGCCTGAAGAAATTGGGCTCCTAGGAAGTGTGGTCACTATAGACCTCTCAGACAACCGCTTGTCTGGATTGATCCCCAATACAATTGGAAAGTGTACAAGCTTGGAAGGATTGTTGATGGCTAGAAATAAACTCTCTGGTCCTCTTCCTAATGTTCTTGGAGATATGAGAGGTCTTGAGATTCTAGACCTCTCCTCAAACCAGCTTTCTGGGTCCATTCCTGACAAACTTGAAGACCTACAGGTCCTGAGCTACTTGAACCTCTCCTTTAATCACTTGGAAGGAGTAATTCCTAAAGGTGGAATCTTTGTTAAAAATAGCTCTAGTGTCCATCTTGAAGGCAACCCAAAGCTTTGCCTGCATTCGTCATGTGTGAATCCTGGCGGTCATAGGAGAAAAGTACTGATCCGAGTTCTTATTTCGACTGTTTCGGCAACATTGGCAGTATGTGTGATAGTTGGTTGTTTGCTCTATGTCAGCAAAAGCAAAGCAAGAGTTACAGAAACTAATTCTGATTTGTTAATAAAAGGGCAGCATCAAATGGTCACATATGAAGAGCTACGTGACGCAACTGGGAATTTTAGCACGGAAAATTTGATTGGAAGCGGGAGCTTTGGGTCTGTATACAGAGGTTGCCTAAGAGATGGAATTGAAGTAGCAGTGAAGGTGCTTGATATAAAAAGGACAGGATCGTGGAAGAGTTTTGTGGCAGAGTGCGAGGCCTTGAGGAGCGTGAGGCATCGCAATCTTGTCAAACTGATCACATCATGCTCCATCTTGGACTTCAGGAACATGGATTTTTTGGCTTTGGTGTATGAGTATCTGAGTAATGGGAGCTTGGAAGATTGGATTCAGGGTAAGAGAAAGAATGCTAATGGAGATGGATTGAACATTGTGGAGAGACTGAATGTGGCCATTGATGTTGCTTGTGGATTGGAGTATCTGCATCATGATTGTGAAGTTCCAGTGGCGCACTGTGATTTAAAGCCCAGCAACATTCTTTTGGACAGAGATATGATTGCAAAGATTGGAGATTTTGGGCTGGCCAAGTTGCTGATAGAAAGAACAAGCAATAACGTTCTCAGCTCCACAGATGTGCTAAAGGGTTCCATAGGATATATGCCACCAGGTCAGTATTAAGCAGCCCTTTTCTCATTTGAAGTATTTGGTTTACCTTATATGTCAAGTTGGCTATGTTTTATGATTGTTTTTCTTTCTAGTTTGTTTGGTTTATTAAGAATGAACTATATGATGCAGAGTACGGTTTTGGACAAAAGCCATCGACGGCCGGAGATGCATACAGTTTCGGAGTAGTGTTGTTGGAGCTGTTTACTGGGAAAAGCCCAACCCATGAAAGTTTCACAGAAGACGAAAACATTATCAGATGGGTGCACTCAGCCTTCCCTCAAAACATTGCCCAAGTACTAGACTCTGAGCTGCTACACCTCATGCAGCATCCGCCCAATGAATTAGAACGTAATTGCCTGACTTCAATTATAGAGGTTGGGCTATCTTGCACCCATGCTTCGCCTGAGGGACGCATTAGCTTGAGGGATGCCCTCCACAAACTTGAAGCTGCTCGGCAAGCATACTCATGTTGAGACTGAGAGTGCCAAGCATGAATTTTAACTACAAACTGGAAATTGCTTGCATGTTTATTTATGTACTAATTAATAGTATGTTATAATATATAATTGAGGCTCCCTTATTCGCTCATATTAGCGACCAATAGTCATGTTCCACAACTGTTATATATGACCCAAACCAGTTGGGGAGGCCCATCCCATACCCTGCAGCCCAGTGGCGGAGCCACTCCTAGACCTGGAGTGACCTTGGCTCCCCTAAATTTTGATCTCTCCTCTATTATATTCTATATAACATATAGAATTTGTAATAAACAACTTATAATTTAAGTTAAAATTCACTCTAAAACAAGTTAGACATGACTCAATTATAAATATTTAACTCTAAATTGTAACTAGTAAATACTTAGGTACTTTATATACTTGTATTTTCTACTTTGGCCCCCCAACTTTGCAATTCTAGCTCCACCCCTGCTGTGTGCGATTCTAGCTCCGCCCATGCTCACAGCAAGCCCAATAGAGGAAGAAGTTGTCACAAGGAAATTGCCTTCTTGAGAGGAATGAACTGCAACTGTACACAAGCATCAATTGACAGCTCCTTACCTCCTTTACTAAACTAAACTGAAGGATATGGATAAGCTTAAATTCTGAATGGAAACCAAACATGAATACCACACACTTGATGACATGCAAAAATGTCAGCATGTCCACGAGGTCATGACCCATGTGTAACATACACTTTAGCCATCATGTGATTATTTTTTTACACAAGGCAAAATTGACATGAATCTAATAAGTTCCAATTAACTTTTATTTGACACCAACACAAATATGACATAATATGTTAAATAAAAAATAACGTATCGAATTAGTGTTAAACTTAATATGCTTGTGGATGAAATAAGACATTGCAAACCGTAAGCTGTGGTGCAGTTGACAAATTACCACCTCAAACTGGCGAGTTACCTGATGTCTTAATGGCAGGAGTTCGAAACATGTTGAAAGTATTTTGTGGCCAGGAGCAAGCCAAACCCCTAGCATGGATTAATCCCACATTCCGAGTGTGGGGACACCTCGTGGTAATTACCAAAGAAATAAGACATTGCAAGTACATGCATATACATTTGAGTACTCCTTTGCCTTTTGTATATAAAATAGAGGCTTATTTACATCAATGCCCCTTGAAATTACTGTCACATCTCACTTTGCCCCTCCAAACTTAAAATGGCCCACTTACCTCGTTTGACCATGGTTTGGTAACCCACTTTGCTCTATGCCATTAACTCCATCCAAAACTCTATTAAAACTGATGACGTGACATGAGTGTTTGTGTGACTTTGTACTGATGGTTTATTATTCACCAATTGAAGAATGACGTGTCAAGTGGAGCCCACCTCCACATAGATAAAAATATAATTAAATATTCTAATAATTAAAACTAATATAAAATTTAAAATAAAACATTAAAAAATTTATAACTAAAAAAATCTCTCGCTCTCTCTGTAAGAGATCCCACCCACACCCATACCCAGCCGCACCAACCATTGCTCTCTCTCTTCTAAATCGCTCCCTCTCCTCCTCCTTTCTTCAACAACCATAAAAAATAATTAAAAGAAAAAAACATGCAAGTCATCTCCCCTTCGTATCTCCCTCCTTCTCCTTCCCTTCCACCTTCCACCTTCCACTCCCACTCCCACTCCCCCTCTGATCTCTCTCTCTACTCAGCTATCTCTCACTCCCCAACTTTCTCCCATCTTGTCTGGAAGAATTCCCAACTATTTGGGGAGTTTCAACTTTTTCGCGAAATTTGAACCTATCATTTAATGATTTAGGAGGCGCAGTATCAATGAGAGGAGTTTTCCAAAATACAAGTGCGCTTTCTATCATGGGAAACAAAAGGCTATGTGGTGGTATACTTCTGCTAGGATTGCCGCAACGCCGATGCATCTCCAATCAATCTAAGACAGAATTATTTCCATGGCGGAAAGTACTTACATCAATTGCTATTGGGGGAGTTACCGGACTTGGCTTACTCTTGTGCTTTGTGCTTCTTTATTTATCAAAAAAAGCATTGCTCTCTGTGCTTCTTTATCCATCAAGAAAAGCAAGAGTGAAGCCAACTTCAGGATCAGCATGGGGGATTTCACTCTTGAAAGTGTCATATGCCGATCTCCTCAAAGCAACTAATGGTTTATCTTCTCGGAATTTGATTGGTGCTGGTAGTTTTGGTTCTCTGTACAGGGGAATTCTCAACGAGGAAGAAAGAATTGTTGCAGCCGAAGTACTCAATGTTCAGAGTTCAAGAGAAAGCTTTATAGCTGAAAGTGAAACCTTGAAAAACATTAGGCACCGAAATCTTGTCAAACTATTGACCGCGTGTGCAAGTATCGATTTTCAAGGAAACGATTTCAAGGCTTTGGTTTATGAATTCATGATGAATTGTAGTCTAGAAGAGTGGCTGCACATTTCAGCTGGCAGAGTAGCTGGGGCATTTGAATCCCAAACCCAAAATGGCAGCCTACAAGTGCATACAATTTAAAAACCCAAAATTGCCCCATACAACTTTGACTCCCAAACAATCGCGCCCCAACCCAAGATCTGCTCGGGTCAACCCCAGAAAATCAGATCTTGGCCCCACCCGGTCGCTGTCGACTTCTTCATTTTATTTTGATTTGGGGATTTTTGGGCAAGCTCAATCCACTGTCGTGCTAAGTGGTTGAAGGTGCTGGGTGGGGTTGGGTTTGTGGAAAGGGATGCTGTGGTGGTGGGTTGGGTTGAGTTGGGTTTGTGGAAGGGGATGGTGGAGTGGTGGCGGCTGTAGATGGGTGTGGGTTGCGTTTGGGGTGCATAGATGGGAGGATTGGAGGAAGGTTTTTGAGTTTTCTTTTAAGTTTATTTTTAATTTTTAGTTATTAAAATAATCTATGTGGAGGTGGCCTCTGGGCTCGTCAATGGGCCGGGCCGGGCTAGCCTGGCCCAAATTGAACGGGTTTGGGTCGGGCTGGGCCGAGCTTTAAAGAGGAGAGAGAAAATATTGGGCCGGGCCGGGCCGGGTTTTTTTAGAAAATTCAAAGCCCAAGCCCGACCCATAAGTCGGACTTGAGAAAGCCCATTGGGCCGGGCTGGGCTAAGCCCAACGGGCCGGGCCGAAACGGGCCTACTTCATTTGAAAAAAATCATAAACTTAATCATAAGGGCATTTTAATCTAAATTTGAGATTAAACTCACTTAATTCCAATATTTTCACATCAAACCGAATTCATAAAATACCCAATAAAGTCACACAACTTAATAAGATTTTCCACAAAAATAATAAAACAAAGTATTATTTTTGAGGTTATTACATAATTAGACCGTAATACGTTTTAAGAAATAATTTTAAAAAATAATAAGTATCAAAAATATTTTTTTTTTAAAGGACGGTATAAATAAATATGTAAATATTTGGTGATGTGTTCAAGAAAAACATGATTATATTTTGTGGTAGTAGTACGATTATGTTTCGTGATATGATTATATTTAATGATATGATATATTGTTCATCTTATTTATATATATATATATATATATAATTGTTGTATTAATAATTGACACAAATTAATGTGCTAATCATCCAATTATAAACTAGGAATGAGTAAAGAAAATTAAATGAAATGAAACAAATTATATATATGATTTAAGTGATATAATCCTAATCCTAAACTCTTATTTATACATAATTATATATGTATGCGGGCCTAACGGGCCGGGCTTTTGTGGGTGGGCCGGGCCGGGCTTTCTTGGGCTTAATCGGGCCGGGCCTATGGGCCGGGCCGGGCTTCAGACACCCAAGCCCAAGCCTAGCCCGGCCCAAGGCAGGCCGGGCCATCTCAAAGCCCATAACGGGCCGGGCCGGGCTTTTTTCCAATGGGCCGGGCGGGCCCCCATCCGCCTATGAGCCCGCGGGCCAAATGATGAGGCCTCTACTTGCCATATCACCCACTCAATTGGTGAATAATGAATAATGAATTCATTGGTATAAAATTACACAAACACTCATGTCACGTAATCAATTTTAATAGAGTTTTGAATGGAGTTGACAACAGAGGTAAAGTGGGTTACCAAACCAGCAGTCAAGGGGGATAGGTAGGCCACTTTAAGTTTGGGAAGAATAAAATGAGATTTGACCATAATTTCAAAGTAGATTTGTATAAATAAGCCTCAAATATATGTTTCACTTGTTTTTGGTACCCTCAGCCAAAAGCAAACTTGGAATTTCAAAACACAGCCAAACAAGCACCGGTTACATACAACAAGCCACACATCTAGAAGCCCATCACCCAGCTTCCCATTTTTCCCGAGTGTAGACTCAGCCGTTGCAATCATTAAAAAAACAAACTCAATTTATTAATAACTCAACCAAAATAAATGAAATACAATTTTCATCAAGAACAAAATGTTTGTTATGCTTAATATATTTAGTTTGATATGTATATTTGTGTATATGATAAGATGACTTGACAGTGGCAAAACTCTGATAACTAATAGTGACACTAAAACAAAAACTCTAGTCAAATGATGCTCTTATCTTCCTCATTTAGTTTTCCTCTCACGACTTATATTTTGGTTCATCCATGTAATTATATTTTGAGGTATATATGTGAGTGAGAGATAAAGATTCATCCTATTTCTCTATCATATTGGTTACCTTCTCATACATGTATCTTGCTAGGTTTCCCAAAATAACAAAATATAAAAGGAAAAGGTGCAAGAGCTATTTTATTTGTTTGTAAAAGCTAGTTTAGGAATAAATTAAAGGAATGGGGAGAGTGAAGCTTCAAATTAAGAGGGATTGAGAATACGACTAACATAGACAAGTCATTTTCTCGAGGCTTGTCAAGAAAGCCTATGAACTCTCTGTTCTCTGTGATGTTGATGTAGCTCTTATCATGTTTTCTCCATATGAGAGACTCAATCTTCTCTATGACCATAAAAGATGATCATCTGGCTGCTTCTCTATGACAACAATTTGGCCACGTTGAGAGTGTTAAGCTTTAATTTGAACAACAATTGCATGTTAATGTATAAATTATAATAAATTAACAGCTTATCGTAATAATAAACGTAATTAGTATACCCTATGTAACAGGGACAGACTTAGGATTTGAAAATAAGGCGGGCTAAATTTATCTTACATACAAACCTAGAAAACTTGACGGTACGAGTGAATTTCATTGAAGTATGACTTTTAAGGTCAATTAACAATTACATCATAAACTTCTCAATGAAAAGAAAATAATTGAAATCATTTATTATCCATTACAAAAGAAGAAGAAAGAAAAAAGAACCATTTTAATCCATCCAAGTCAACTTGGAAAATAAAAATGAGAAGAAGTAGCCAAGATTTATAAGGAAAAAAAATGAATTGACATTTTATGTACACTAGAAAAGGTTAAAAAAAAGAGATTTTTTGTCGGTGGGATCACTAGGATGAGATGTGTAGAGGTGTGCTTTGGTGGGCAGAGTATTAATATTGGACTATAAAATATCAAGTTGCTCATGCTATAGTCCATGTTAGCATGAACGTAGGACCGTCATTCCCATGTAATAAGTGAAATAAACTTGTGTTATTTCTTGGTTGATATGGTGATTTTGGTAGATGCACAACTTGTCTTTAAATGTGCAATGGCGCCACATGAATTACAATGTTTCCTTCTTGTCACTTATTTACTGATTAATTTCTAAAAATTATAACTCAAATTAGTATCATACGAAATCATTTCATAAATAACACCATTGAAATTATATTTATGGGATGAAGCATAATTGTTATTGCCCATATGCGGATGAAATAAAAAGAAAAAAAACATCAACAACCAGAAGGGTAAGCAAAATGTTTAGTGTTTGTTTGTGCTTTGGGTTGACTTGATTTTGATGTTTGGGTTGAACTTAAAATTTGACAGTCCAAATTGAAATCAAAATCACTTTCCAAAGAAAGCCGAAGCCAAAACTATCCCGCCCAAGTACCAAACCAAAACACCTAAAAAGGGACCCGCCTAGTACCAAATCTTTATGCCCCAAATGAAAATACGAAAGTTTCAAACTTTTTAACCCAAGACAAAAAAAAAAAAACTTCAAAAAAAATAAAACGACCCAAAATTTTCAAATTTGGTTCATCGAAAATAAAAGTCACGTGGAAACCCGGGCTCACAGACTAATTCCCAAAATTTCAATTTTGTCCAGTGGAAAGACAAAACGCTCCAAAAATAATGGAAAACAAAATAAAACGCTCCAAAATCCAAAATCTCCAAATTTTAGTTGCAACTAAAAAATTCACGTCAAATCAAACAGCGCCAAAAGCACAAATTTTCGAAGCAGAGTTGAGCATGGCGCTCTATTTTATCTCTCAAAACTTCAAAACCCACCCTCTCTTTCATTCTCACTACATATTGCTATCACCGCTCAGAGTCTTACACCTCAAACTCTGCGCTTTGCTTTCTCTCTCTATCTCTCTCACAGTCCAACCCGAGCCACGATAGCAAGTAAAGCCCAAAGCTCGACCAGTGCAGAGCAATGGCTTCTACCACCGTGGCCGAGCAACTGAACTGTAATCGCATCACTACTCGTGCTGCGGCGAAGCGGAGGGCGATGGCCGCCTTGGTTGAGGAGCACCAGCTGGCTACCAAGAAGCGCGCGGTGCTTGGAGATGTTACGAACTTGGTCAACGTCGTCGTTTCGGACAACCATAAATCTTATGGTGAGTTGCGGAAACCGAATTGTGCAATCAAGAAGGAGGAGAAGAAGGCCGTAGCAACACCTGACATTGAGGATCCGCAACTGTGTGGACCTTATGCTTCGGACATTTATGCCTATCTTCGTAGGATGGAGGTACAAAGATCCCAACTTTGTTTCTTCAGATTTTGATTTCTTCATTTGATAATCAGAACGGTCTTGGACTTTTCAACTTAAAATTGATATTGGGAAAAAGGTTTTTGGTTTCAATTTTGATAGTGAAATTGGCTATAAAGCATTAAGATCCAATTGGTAGGATTTTGGGTTTAATTTTGATTCTGGGTATAGTAGTTTTGTGAATTCTCTAAATTAGGGTTTAATGTTTTGTCAATTGGGGATTAGACTCACCGTGAATAATGGGTTGGTTTCTTTAGGTGGAACCAAAGAGAAGGCCGTTGCCTGATTACATGGAGAAGGTTCAGAAAGATGCTAATGCTAATATGAGAGCGGTCCTTGTGGATTGGCTGGTGGAGGTTGCAGAGGAATATAAGCTCCTTCCAGACACTCTTCATCTCTCTGTTTCTTATATCGATAAGTATCTATCGATCAATGTGGTCAATAAGCAGAAGCTTCAGCTACTGGGAGTTGCTTCAATGTTCATTGCATCGTAAGCTCACAAATCTTTGAATCTGTCGTCTGATTGGTACAACTGTTTTTCTTCTGATGATGATGTGAAGTTACTATAAGTATTATTCTTACATTTTCATGATTTCCTAATTTATAGGAAATATGAAGAGATTACTCCTCCAAATGTGGATGAGCTCTGTGACATAACAGAAAATACGTATACAAAAGAAGAGGTATTTGACGTTTTACTTGGGGTTTTATCCCTGAAAATGATCTATTTATACCTCAGATAGATGCATTTGCTTTTATACTAAGAGTAAATTTTTCGGTGGGTTGTAAAGGTGATCAAGATGGAGGCCGACATTCTCAAGTCCCTGAAATTTGAAATGGGCAATCCTACTACTCGGACATTCTTAAGGTAAGGATGGTGCTGACAATGAAAACACTCTGTTTTGGTTGGGTAATGTAAATACTTGCCAAGCTTAAATGACTTATGACTGATTGTTTTTGTTCCTTTGATGAATTGTTTTGCAGAAAGTTCACTGATATTGCTCAAGATAATTACAAAGTAAGCTTCCCCCTTACCCTCTCACACACACATGTGGACTTACCAAGTTTATAGTCTCTCATACTGACTGCTTTATTGTTTTGTGTGGTTTACAGAGTCCCAATTTGCAGTTAGAGTTCTTGGTTTGCTACCTTGCTGAGCTGAGTTTATTGGATTACAAACTTGTGAAGTTCCTGCCTTCTTTGGTAGCTGCATCAGTTGTTTTTCTGGCACGATTTATGACTAGAACAAAAATACATCCTTGGGTAAGGGTTTGATAAATTACTTGTGCTGATTTCAATTTCTGAAAGCAATTACTAAGTCGTATCCATTTCAGTGTCCAGCCCTGCAACAGTATACCGGATATAAAGCATCTGATTTGAAAGAATGTGTTCTTGCCATACATGACATGTGCTTGGGTAAAAGAGCACGAAATTTGAATGTTATTCAAGAGAAATACAAACAACTTAAGGTATTGTTTATCAGAAGTAGGTTTGACCTTTTCTTATTTTCCAAATTTTAGAAATGCAAAACATGGTTCTAATGGAGTCCTTTTTCTTTAACGCAGTTCAAATGTGTGGCACACACTCATTGCCCTCAAGATATACCAGCTTCTTTATTTGAAGATCTGAAAACATGAAAGTACAATCCTTGTGGCAAGGGCTTGTCCAATGTGATAGTAAGATCTGGATATAAGTTTTATTGGGTGTGCTTGATGGATTGGAGGGTTAACGGCGAGGGCTGATGATGTTTGCCATTGCTATTGGGTGAGGATGGAGCATCATTCTGCTTTGCGCCAGATTACAACTTGGTTGACCTTTGTGTTGGATTTCTGGGAAGCAGCTGGTTCTATATTATCATTCAGCAAATACACTTCAGCTAGCGCAGATCAAAACTGAGTAAGCTGTGATGCAGGGTATGGTCTGGTGGTGAACCAGATGAGCTGACCCAAAGGGTCGCACTTAAGCAGACTGTTGCTGTAAACTTTCCACCCGATGTGGTGCAAGTGCAACGATGGGTGCCAAGTGCATCTAATTGTAGTGTGCCAACAAAGAAAATATACATGATTGCTTGATCACCTTAACAGCTGGGTTGCATTTGTTGAGCCACAGACGTAACAAATGACGCACAAGAAGGGTGTTGCTGTTGTCAAACTGAAACGGCCAGGCCAGCGGCTATAATTTACTTTTGTGGTTAGGTTAACTAGGAGTTTACTGTTAGTTTTAGTTAAGTTAAATACTTATTACATCAGTTACATTAGCTGAGGGCTAATCTTGTAGCCTATATATACTGTAACATTGTCATGTTAATATTTAATGAGAATGGTTACTTTCAGAACTCTCTGATTTTCCACAATCAGGCCTCATTGACAAAGCTAATTATCTCCCCACCCCAGGTTGCATATGTTTTACAGGCAGTGTCCTGATGGAAATTTGCAAGTTTTGTTGCCTTTATATCCTTGCTGGTTAAGTTTGGAATGTGCAGTGAAATTGGTGGTCACGTTTTGTTACCTTCACATCAATTTGGAATGATGTGAAATACTAACACAAGGTATGGGGGAGGAAAGTGAGTTAATTCAACGAGAAACAAGATTAAGAATAGGAAACTAATGCCATCTTTGATTTCTCGATCTATCAATGAAGTTAAACACAAACAGTTAAGGGCGGGAAGTAGGGATTTTAAAATGAACGTGAAAATAGGAAACTAATCGAAAGCAAAAAACTTACGAAGTGATGCAAAAGACAATGACCAACATTCAAACACAATCTGTAATGTAACTTTCTTCGAGCATAACCGTATAAAAAAATATAGAAAATTAGTTAAACAATCATTCCTATACATAAAACTATAAAAATACCTTATATTATTTAATGTATATAAATACACCCAAAACAAATCCAAAAATCGACAGCTGTATATTTTTTAATTTAATTATTAAGATGAAATACCTTTATTACCATTTTAACATAAAATTTGAATTCTAATCAATACCTGATCAGAACTCATTTCACGACCTCCAGTCTCTCATCTTCATCTTCAACCCCAATTTTCAGTTTTTTTTCTTCCACCTCAGTTTTTGTTTAACCTCATCATTCTAAGCTTCGTTGGAGGGCTCGCCTGGGCCACCGACAATGAGGCGCTGGAGAGGGCCTTTTCTCCGTTCGGTGAGATCATCGAATCAAAGGGCCGTTTGACGCATGTTCTCTCTCTGCTACTTGATCTTCTGTTTCTCTATGTTACTTGATCTTTCTCTCCCAAATATTGAAGATCAATTGATTCCTTTTCATTTTTGTTTATTATTGTGTATTTGTTTGATTATACTCCGACGTTTTGGTTTTGATGGACGGATCTGATTTCTGTCCCTGAGATTTTGAGGGCCCTATGCGAAACTTAAATTGGAGCCTCACATCTAATATGAAAATAAAATAAATAAAAATTTGCCATAACTTAATGTCATAAACAATTTTTTTATAACTAAAAGTCATGAATAAATATGTAATGACAATTAGAAATCAAATTCATAAAAATTTAAATGTTTCTATTTGATAAAATTAAATGTTTGGTACAAAATAAGCTCATTGTGCCCCTACAAGGTCCCTTACTGCTTCCAATAAGCAATCTGTGTTTAATAGGAAAAACAATTGGCAATCACAAATTAAAGAGTAGTTGCACACAAATTCCTGAAATTTGAATTTGACTATTTGATTTTGAGTGGTCTTTATGAATTTAGGAATTAGGGTTTTCTCTTTTTGGTGTTGAAATTTCTGAAATTGAAAGAATAACAAAAATTGTCAAAGGATTGGAAAAAGAACCAAAGAGAGATGGATGAATGATGATGATTACTTACCAAAAAATCAGAGTTTAAGAGAAAGAAGAAGCCATGAAGTTTTTTTTTATAAATTTTATATTTTAAGAACGATTGACACGTAAAACAAGAAATAGACCGCCTTCAACAAGATTTGAACTCTGGTGCTTCGTTAAATGAAGAAGAGCTGGAGCCAACTCCACCAGAGACGCCTTTTTGCAAATGTCTAGCACACTATAGTATATATACAATTCCTATAATATTAATATATACAATATAAATATTTTTTTTTTGGGGGCCCTTAAGAATCGGGGGCCTTGTGCGGTGGCGCCACTTGCACCACCCCAGGGCCACCCCTGGATTTGGTTTCTTTTGTGTTTCCAGATCATCAATGACCATGAGACTGGGAGGTCCAGGGGCTTCGGCTTCGTCTTCGTCTTCGTCACCTTCAGCAACGAGAAGGCCATGAGTGAGGAGAACCTCAACGGTCGTAACACTGAGACCTACATTATTTTGTAGTGTGCCTCAGTTGTACAACAGAATATATGCCGGGTAATCATAGTTGGCTGCTACATTCCTATATATCCACGTACTTACTCAATTCCTCCAGACCTCATTAATTTGCTTTCGCCTTTTACTTTTATCTCCTTTGAATTGCTTTATACATATTACCACTTTTTTTCACAGAGTTTTAAATGAATTTAAATGAATTTTACAAAGTTTGCAAGATACAGTCGCTGGATTTACAAGTATGGATTATAAAACTCTTGATCAATTCGCTTACAAGATCTGGTAAAAGAGGAGTTTTTTTTGTTGTCACTTATATTGAAAGTCTTCAGAGTCCTTTACCCCTTCTGTCAGTCCTGCTTAGTAAGTTGTATGGTTTCAGAAAATTCACAATGTTTGAATGCTTCAAGATTTGTATTTATATATATATGAAATTACTCTACTGAAATTTATATGCCATCCAGGGCTTTAGTGAGCGTCTTGTAACTGCTAGTCGCCCTGCAATAAGTCTCATGTTAAGCAAGTTAGTATCTATATCTTTCTTTTGTTCACCTTCCTTCAAGTATGTGGTCTGATTAATTTATCTGAATGCCTGTTTCTCTGAATTAAAATTGTGGATATAGGGTTTTATGTGTGCTTTTTTGTTTGTTTTTTGTGACTCACTGTCTCTACACCTTGATGTTTGCCTATTTGATGAACTTTATGATTAGCACTCGTGGGCTCTCTGATATTTCAATGTTGTTTTATAACATTTTGATATTACAGGTACAGCCCCTTGTAATTAGTGATTGTTGGCATATGGATGGGAACCAGTCTTTCCATACTTGTGGAGAAGCTGTCTAAATATTTCATGCCTTAACAATGTGTTTCTTTTCCCATGGTTATCCAGACATTGGATGTTCTCCTACAAGTACTTGTTGTGTTTCCTAATGTAGAGACTTTGCGCAGTAAGGTAAGGAGTCGTGTGTGAGATACCAGAAGTACTTTGTTTTGATATTTTATCAGCTGCACTTGTAACCTGATGCTAATGTATGTGGTATCTAGGTAACATCATTTGTACACCGGATGGTGGATACACTAGGAGCATCTGTTTTTCCCTACCTCCTAAAGGCACTGGAGCAATTGCTTGTGGATAGTGCGGTATAAAGCAGTTATAACTAAATTCTTCTGTTCTGAATTTTTTTTTTTGGGTTAAATCTAACTTTGAGAAAATAATTTTTGGTAATAAATAGAGAACAAATTTTGGACAGGTACTGTGTCACCAAGAAATAAAATTTAGAAAATAAAAGTTATGTTTCACATAAGTATATTTTGCATCAGTTTGATGGATGGATTTGATTTGATTTGATTTGTTTTCTATGACATGGTATTAACAGTGTACTTTTATGACATAGTATTAACATATTTTCAATAACAAAGCTTGCTCTATATTTTGCTTTATATATAGATGTGTACTTCAAGTTTATAACATGCAGAATGTGATTTTTACTAGGAAGATAGTTCTATGACATAGTATTAACAGTGTACCTTTTCCTTTTCTTTTTTTTATTTCCTTTTTGCCGTTGCGATTGTATTGGTGAAACTGTAAACAATTGGAAATGGTTTTTGCAAATGATATCGGATGTCTTGCTGAGATTTTTTGAATTTTTTTTTATATAAAATGGTATTAATAATGTTTTTTTGTATGAAATTGTATTAACAATAAATTTTTGTATGAAATGGTATTAACAATGGTTTTTTGTATGAAATTGTATTAACAATGTTCTATTTGTATGAAATGATATTAACAATGTCTTTTTGTATGAAATGGTATTAATAATGTTTTTTTTTAAATTTATTTTTTTATGAAATGGTATTAACAATGTTCTATTTGTATGAAATGGTATTAACAATGTCTTTTTGTATGAAATGGTATTAATAATGTTTTTTTTAAAATTTATTTTTTATGAAATGATATTAACAATTTTTTTTGGTATGAAAATGTATAAACAATTTTTTTCTATGAAATTGTATTAACAATATTTTTCTATGAAATGATATTAACAATGTTTTTCTAATGAAATGATATTAACAATGTTTTTCTATGAAATTGACAATGTACTTCTATGATATTGTATTAACAATGTACTTCTATGACATGGTTTGCAGAGATTTGATGGAGAAGGAAGGGACGTGGGGACCATTGTCATGTGTTTTTTTTTTTTTTTTTTTTTTTTTTTTTTTTTTTTAATTTTTTTAAAAAATTTGAATAGGGCTTGTTTTGGGTTTTTTTGTATTGAGCTTCTTTTAAATTAGTTAGTGGCAGTCATATAATTTATAGGAAATTTAACACTCATTTTGTATGTAGTAAATGATTTTTGGGTATGTTTCTAAAGTGCGTTTCATGTAAGTATTTTTTTATAATTTCAGCCCCTATTTTGGGTATATTACTAAAGCTCCCAAAAAAATATGCGCATACATGGGCTTAGTCAAGTTAGCTAGAGCAGATTTGCTTCCCACTCTGTACCAAAATTTGAATCCACATCCCCATTAGATTAAAGTAGATTATTGCATGTATAATTTTTTTTATAAAAAAAAAAGGAAAGAAAGGGATTGACAATAAGAATCATGACTACAAGGTGAGGACATAAGTTAAATACGGGCAAGGGGGAAATTTACTTTTTTTCTTTCTTCCTCGTGTTTTAGAAAGCAAAATTTGTATGTAACAAAAAAAAAGAAAAAAAAAGAAGCCAAGTTTGTAGATTGCTTTTTTTTTCCTTTATTGTATCTAATCTTTAAGATATTCGTATTTTTTAAACTTTTCAATTTAACTCTTACTAATTTTCAAATTTTTTTAGAGGTCGATGAAACATGTCGGGGTGTAGGGTGGACTAAAATGTTCAATTGTTTAAAAATAAATAAGTTTTGGCAAAATGTTTTATTTTTAGAAGGAAAAAAAATCATAAGGGTAAAATTTATATTAGTAAGTGAAAAATTAGATGTAAATTTTTGGGAGTTTCACTAAAACACCCAAAATGGGAGTTGAAATTATAAAAAAACTCAAGCACTATTTAAACATATAAACACACCCAAAACCCATCATTACACACACTTAAAACCCATTTATAAACACACCCAAAAAGTTGACTTTGGGGTTGATTTTGGGTGTGTTTCTATGTTTAAATAATGTTTGAGTTTTTTTATAAATACATGTCTAGAATTGAGTTTATTTATAAATTAGATGTAAATTTTTTAATTTTTTAATTTTTTAATTTTATCAATAAGGGTAAAAAAGGAAAGATAAAAAACCGCGTGATCAGCGAGTCACTAATAACGTGAGAAAAGATGTACGGCGGTGAAAAAATAAATAAATGGCAAACACATTCCAAAATTTCAAAATTGAAGCAATTCAAAGCAGGGAACCAAAATGGGTCCGAAAACATTAAAACAGAAACCCAAAGGCGCCAACTTTAGTTTTCAAAGTGGCGCTCCCATTTTACTCACTACAAAACTCTCTTCTTTCTCTTTCACCCCTCAAAACCTTTCTCTGTCTCTCTAACCCAAACAAAACCTCGACACTCACAGATTCGCTAGGGCCATGGCGGAGAAGGAGAACTGCGCCCGGGTCACAAGGTCAATGAAGAGGAGGGCCGAAGCTGCCAAGGGCCAAGAGCAGCCGGCCACCAAGAAACGCGTGGTCTTAGGAGAGCTCCACATCATCCAAAACGCCGTCGTTCCGGCGAATAACAAAAGTTCTGTGGTGGAGCCGCAGGTGCAGAAACGCGGAGCCAAAGCCAAGGCGAAGAAAGCACTGCCCGAGAAGAAAACGGAGACGCCGACGACGCCGGATATTGATTCCACGTCGGATGACCCTCAAATGTGTGGGCCTTATGCTCGTGACATTTATGATTATCTTCACAAGCTCGAGGTAAGGCTTATCAAATCGTATTTATCTTGTCTGATATTGGAATTTATTGGAAAAATGGTAGTTGGGTATTGCCAAATTAGATTTTTAATGCGTTCTCGTTGCTCTGAAAGTTGAATTTAGGATAAAGACTGAAGCGTTGTGGTGTTTAGTTATGTTATTTTGGGTTTTCCTCATTAGCTAAAAGCTAAGCTTTATTTAGGAATTTTTGTCGTCTCTGTGTTTTGGGTTTTTGTTTGAATTAGAATTTGGGGTTTATTTTTCATAATGGGTAGGTATTGATATTTGAGAATGGTTGGTGGCATTAGGGTCTTGGTCTGAAGTCAAAACTGGTACATGAGTTTATAGCATTTTTGGTTTTGAGCAAATAGGCTAATGGTGATGGTGGGTTAACATTCAGGCGGATCCAGATAGAAGGCCTTTACCTGATTACATGACAAAGGTTCAAAGGGACATCACTTCTAATATGAGAGGAATCTTAGTAGACTGGTTGGTGGAAGTTGCAGAGGAATATAAGCTCCTTTCCGACACTCTTTTCCTCACCGTTCTGTATATTGATAGATACCTATCTTTGAAAGCTCTCGACCGCAAAAGGCTTCAGTTACTGGGTGTTTCTTCAATGCTCATTGCCTCGTAAGTCCGCAAGTCAATGAAATTTTTGTGTGAATATTTTCTTACTAATATGAATCCACATAGTAATCTTCTTGTTAATGTGGTAAACAGAAAGTATGAGGAGATCAGCCCTCCACATGTGGAACAATTTTGTTACATCACAGATAATACATATGATAAGGACCAGGTGATTTTTATAATTCTCTTTATCATCTTAGATTGATATTTTCAAATCACCCTCGCTTTTATTATTGTAGTACTTTAGATTAATACTTTTGTTCATTGTATGCATTGTATAGGTGTTAAAAATGGAAGCTGATATACTCAAGGCCTTAAAGTTCAACTTGGGAAATCCTACAATAAAGACAATACTAAGGTAAGGAGTAAGGGCAATGCTTGCATACATTTTTGCTCGGGCACTTTTGATCATGTGCACTTATGATGCTTCGTTGTAAACATATCGGACTGATTAATGTTCCTTCTCATTTTGGTTTGCAGGAGATTTGCTAGAGTGACTCAAGAGAGCTACAAAGTATGCAAGACCTCTCTCACAACAAATTGAGCTAAATATGTAATACATACAATAAGCTAATTACTTGCTTTGTGCTTTTTACAGGATCCTAATCTGCAGTTAGAATTTTTGGGCTACTACCTTGCAGAGTTAAGTTTGTTAGAGTACGAGTGTGTAAAGTTTTTGCCCTCATTGGTGGCTGCGTCTGTTACATTTCTCGCAGGATTTATGATCCGGCCAAAGTCTCATCCTTGGGTAAGAACTTGCTAGAGACTCTGTAACATTGTTTAACAAATATTGAAGGAAATTGCTGAGTTAATCTTGCTTTCTGCAGACTCTGTCCTTGCAACAATATTCCGGATACAAACCGGCTGATTTGAGGGAATGCGTCCTTATCATACACGACTTGCATCGGAGTAAAAGAGGAGCAACTTTACAATCGATAAGAGGAAAGTACAAATCACATAAGGTACTTTGGCTAAATGTTTACCTACAGACTTTGTTTTTATTTTCCACGCTATAGAGAATAGAGATGATGTGAATTGTGTTGTTTCTGGATACAGTTCAAATGCGTGGCAACCATATCTTCTCCTCCAGAAGTACCAACGGACTATTTTGAAGATCTGAAAGAATGATTATTTAAGTACAAGAAGAATAGGTTTTAGCTGCAAGACGAGGGGTTTTTTCAACTCGAAGTTTTTCAAGACGAATGGTTGTGATGTATGCTTGGATATATATTTTTTGTAGGTCTCAATCTCAATGGTGTTGCTTAGATAGTCCCCACTAGCGTTTAAAATTTCTTTCACTTTGCTAGATTATTTGTTGATTATGACAGAAGTTAGGATAGCATTTTGAGTGCATTTGGTTGCTTTCGCTGGGAATGTTGAGTTGTGAAAGCTGGTAATATTCCTCAAGTTTTCAATCGCTGTAGAAATGAAGTTTGTAAATCACAGTTTCTTATTTCTAGTTTTAACTTTTCCTGGTTTTTGTTTCACTTGCAATGTTCGCATCAGTCAAAACATATTATATTCTCTGATACACCTCATGTGTGACCCCCGACTTAATTCATGAATTAATTATATTAATTGACACCTGAATAATCAACCGTTTTGATATTATATTTAAAGTATACAATCCAAAATTAATTGGTAATCAGGGAAGAAAATTAAGACTTATTATATTGAGATATAAATATTAGAATATTCTATGTTTAGATTTTACATTCTTAACAAATCTTCACATTTTTAAATGCAGATCGAATTTCAATAGCACAAGTGAAAAATAAAAAATAAAAAAATTTCACTAGCACAACATAACATAGAAAGAAAGCTCTTCATTGTCATTTAAAGATGAATGGGAATCTACCCCAACTGATGAATGGGAATCGATCCAAACTGAAAATAATAATAAAATGATAATGCACATAAAGGTTGAAAATCTACATTCGGAAATCCACAACACATACTACGTTGTTAGCAAAACAAGCAGCGACCTTGTCACCTTCCTTGTTCCAACAAACTTCAAATATCCCACCATTTCCCGTGTATGTTTTTACAATTTTGCCTTCCTTCACGGACCATATGTGCATACATTTATCCATAGATCCACTGGCCAAGTACTCGCCATCCGGGCTGAATGCAACGGAGTATACCGGATCCCTAGGATTTGCCATACAGACAATGTCAGTAGATTGCGAATCACAACTAACATAACAGTCATTTTGAAGCAAACAAATCAGTACCACCTCTTTGTTCTTTGTGGAATGTAAATCGCACTTCATATATCTCATAAAGAATTTCTTTAGAAAAATGCCATGCAACAAACTAAAATTATCAAATATTTACCTGTGGCCATTGAAGCTGTAGAGAAGTCTCCCTAGTTCCACGTCCCATAGTTTTATAGTTGAGTCAAAGGAAGCGCTGGTCCATGTAAAATAAGAGAAACATAAGGAATGCATGAATAACAGTATCTGGTCTTTCAAGACAATGACAGAAACAAACACGAGCGACCATGCATGCACAAACACATATAGAAAGTACTTTACTTTACCCCTATTTCTACACATGTCAGAAGAAGCAGTGCATTTACCTTGCTAGAACTAACTGTTGATTGGGATTATTTGTGCCTGGTCCTGTAGGACTCCACCGGATGGTATATATCTCCTACAAAATAACGCATCCATCACAACTTACAATCTGGGAATATTTTCAACAAACTCACAAATAGAAACGAGGCACAGATACCTTAACATGTTCCTTCAAATCATGCAAATATTTGTCCTGCTTCGTACTCCATATCTGTGTTAAAAGATACTTGAGTTTTCAGCCCATTCAAGAAAACCACAATAAAGAGACCCATAAAACAAACTGTTCTGTACTACGGAGACACTAATATGTCAATGTAACCCGGGTGAAGAAACACATGGTAAGAGTGCAAAAATGTAGTGCAACATTATTGATTGGAAGTTCAAAAGAAAAGCATTCTCAAATGTCTAGATCACCTTTGCAGTAAAATCATCAGAGCAAGAAGCCAACAAAGAGCCAGTTGGATCCCACTTAATAGCATTAACTTCACCCTGAAACAATATAATCAGAAAGGTTGAACAAAAATCATGCAGTATCAATCTGCTGATGAGATTCACCAACGGGTGAGTTCCTTTCCTCTAAGCATTTAACTGGATATATTTTATACTGTGAGAGTGGCAAAGGGTGGAAGATGTTTAATGTCAATCCAGACCCGAGAAATCTATACCAGTACAATAAATTTTAGCGAGACCTTGATAGAAGAAAGTGTAAAAAGATTATAGGATTATTAATTTATTCAATTTATTTTGCCAGGCAATATCTAAACCCAAGGCTTGCTCTACCCCATCCTTTACAACCTGGTCCAAGGGACAGGGGCATGCAACTAGTAATTTGGGGAAGCACTGACGATACATGCAAGTATATGTAGCTCTCAACACTCATACCTCCTCAAATTTTTTTTTTAATTTTAAATTTTACCTTTTACGCATGTTCCCTGATTGGAAGCATTAAAATCACGAGTCATTAAGCATTTACATGAGAATTGACAGAGCATAATTCTAATTTGTCTTTATATAATCGTAAAAATTCATGTGTTTAATTCAAAAAATGATGCAGTAACTATAAACTAGCAGAAATCATATGATTGGTTCGTTGGATTATAGAACAAACCTGATGCCCTGAGAAAGTTTTGATTGGTTGGTTCTCTCCAACCTTGCAAACATGTATCAAAGTATCAGTGGAGCACGTTGCAAAGGAAACATTGTTCCGCCAATCAACATCCAGGGTTGGAGCTGAAAAATAATTTTGGCTTGCTTAACATGGTGCAGAAGTGAAATTTTATCAAACACAGCCTTAAAATAATGCAGTACCTGAATGAAATTCAAACTGCTGTTTCCATTCGCCACTCTTTATGTCCCACACAATTGCGGTTTTATCCACACTGCCACTCAGAAGATAATCACCTTTCTTGTTCCACTTCAGAGAAAAGATTGGACCTTTATGTTTGATTAATGTAGTCCTTAACTCTCCTATATAAAAATCCCACAGTAAATGTTAACAAAAACCTAGGACTAAGTGCAAGCTGTTTAAAATCTATCAATCACTAGACTTCAAAAGCAAACATGTTGCAGATATAAACATAACTCACCATCTCTACTCCATATTCTTGCTTGGCCATCGTAAGAACCTGTTGCAAGCAATGTCCCATCACCCTACAAAATGGCAAATCCTTTAGCAAAAACATAATCCGAGAAAGTCATGTCAGAGTTTTCAACTACAGAACGTGATAAAGACTCACATTCCAATCAAGTGTGGTCACGTCCTTGCTTTTCTCATTGGCTCTACCTTTGAAATGCTTTAAAACCGCAACATTTGCAGGCTCATTTTGCATGCCAGATCCACAACCTCCATCTGCAATGGTCCAAATTCGAGCTGTTGAATCTCCAGACCTAGACAAGGAAATACAAGTGAAAATAAGATGATCTTCCATGTTTCTGACACCTTTTATTGTACAAAGTAATATCTCAACTCCAGCTACTCTGTGAGATAGATGACAAAAAATATAAACCACCTGATGCTAATCTGCCCAGGTATAAAGGACAACGTACTCACCCAGATGCAAGAAGTGAACCCGATGGACTCCATGCACAAGCAAAAACCTGTCAGAAGTGGAGGAAAAAGTTCATGCAATCACACTCTACCAATTGAAAATGGGAGGCAAATGTACAATGCAGGGATATTTCCAATCCAAACCTCTGAGGTATGGCCTTCTAGAACTGTTACGTCAGAGCTAGGAATTTCACTAGGCAAGGATATTGAGCTTGGAGTTATTTCCATTGGTTCCACCCCTATTTCACATATTTACAGACAACTTAAACTTTACAATTGGGAAGCTAACATATGGCCAAAGTTCAACGTCTTTATAAACAGAAACGAAATTGAGGGCAAATTACCTCCACAAGCTCCATTTTCTTCAGGTTCCATTTTCTCAATCTCATTGTGATCCTCGTGTGTTTCTTCATTCTCTTTACCAATTTCTTGTTCCCTCTCCTTGTGCGACTTGTCCTCCCGATCCTCTTCTTCTTCCTTTTCCCTATCTCTTCTCTCCTCCTTTACTTCTTGAGCATTTTCCCTTTCACTTTCCTCCTTGCTCTCATTTTTCTGGTTAGCTGCGTTCATCCTGTCCTTCTTCTCCCTGACCATTTTCTGCAATTGATAAGCATCTTTCGTGATAAGATCCAACGGTTGCAGAAACGAAAAGTCGTCGTCCATGTCCGCATCACTCTGTAAACCTAACACACACATCAATCAGCCCAAGCTTCCAACTTTCAAACTTCAAAGCATGTATTAATTAAGAAAATTGAACACTTTGCTTACACTGCTGCTCAAGTCTGCTTCCAGCTCAAGATACTGAAGCCCTTTCTGGATAAACGTAACAAGTGCGCCTGGCGGAACTACATTACCGTCAATCGTGCTTTTGTGAAGCTCGGCCTCGTATCCAAAAGCGTAAGCTGAATGCGTAAAGCCTGAAGAAATTAAGAAACTAATTAGAGTTTCATAGCAATTTCTAGCCAGAGAATGATTAATTTTCTAAGCGTTAAACAGGCAAACGGAACGGACCTGATTCGTGGAGGTAACGGAAGACTAGGTAGTTCAATTCGTTGGAGGTGAGGGAGATCATCGTCGTCGTCAACGTTGAAGCTCCAAACCCTAGGGGTCAGGTGTCTACGGAGGAGCCAGAAGAATAAAGCCACCGCCTTACTTCTTACTTACTTCCTAGGCACACAGAGAGAGAGAGAGAGAGAGAGAGAGAGAGAGAGACGTTGGCCGTTGGGCCTGTGTGTAAAATTTGTAACGTCTTTAACGGTGGTTAATAAATAGGAGCGTATCTGGCGCGGTTGGCCGCTTTGCTAGACAGTTCTTAAGTGGCGGTGGCCGGCGGCCTTTTACTCGGCTTGGGCCCGCCTTCTGATTACAAACTATTCAGGCCGAATTAAGTCCGAGTTTAAGGTTTTGGATTGGGCTAAATTTATAGGATCCTTTTCCAGTTGGCCCAAACTGGAAGTTTGATAGGAGGCTCATTTTAGCTATCGGGCTGAGTAATTCTTCAGTAAGTTTTTTAACCACCAAATATGGAGTTTGGTTTTATTTTTTTTTATTTTTTTATTAAAGAAAAACTTCATTAGATAACCTTCAAGAATATAATCAAATATCAACATGATATCTAAAATATCAATCCCACGAGAGCAACAAATTAACATACTAAAAACAAGACTAAAGCAGACAAAACCCGCACTAAAAATACTCGCAAACATCACCAATCATAATTCCAAACTAAGTCAATACACACAACATAACTGAAACCATAAAGCAACCCCAGAGCCTAAATGAACCTTACCATCATCACATGAAGAAGCGTCATCGCAGCCACACTCACCACCACATAAAATCTTGAAGTGATAACAAAAACCGTAACAAATCTAGGGAAAACATGATTTCCAACGATCTACCTTCGCATAAGATAGAACAATACAAAACAACAAACTTGACAAAGAAGAATTTGATGATTTGCAACAAACTATGTTAAATACGATATAAAACCAATTTTAGAGCTCCATTTATGGAGTTTTTCTTTGAGATTGACAAAGAAAGAAAGCGGCTAGGGTATTTTTTTTCTCTCTCCAACCTAATTATAATTGTTTTACTTAATACTCAAATTTCAGAAGCAAAATCAACTGAGGTATTGAACTTTATAAATAAATTATTTATAAAAAATAAAAAAACACTTGACTGGATCATTTAAATTCCAAATTGGTATAAAGTTTAAAAGTGAAAGCCAACTATTTATGCATACATGGAAAATACTTAAGTGCATCCAATTGTTTGTTAGCCACGGTTGTGATCATTAAATTTTCACCATAGACATAGACATGGACATGTCATAATTGGAATTATTATTTCCTAAATCACAATTTAAATGTCATATCTAAAAAATAAAATAATAACAATTGGTGATCTCTTGGTCATTCATGTGTATCAGACAAATGGATAGTTGGTAGATCTTAATACTGACCAAAATTGTTGATTTGTTTGATATTTGTGCATATTATTTAACAGCATCCAATTTTATTGAATATTTGTAAAAGAGAATGCTAACAACTTTCTCTCTAACATTTTCTTTTGAACATTCTCCATTTTACTCGTAACAAGTGTCACTTCTCTTTCATTTAAACCAATATTTTAATTACACAAAAGAACATTAATTGTATGTCCGTATTTACCATTTTATTGTTTAAAATAATCAACAATAAAAAAAGGGGTTCTTCAATCACCCGATCCCAACCCCAACTCGCCCTCGGCCCACCTCTTCCTCCTCCTCCTCCGGTAAAACTCAACAATCAACAGGACAATCACACCCACAACTCATCTCTCCTTCTCCCACCTGCGCAGCCACCCCCACCTCCCACCCCAGCCACTAATTTCATCCCAGCAGCCACATCCATTTTCCAACCCACCCATGTTTGATATTTATTTTATTTTATTTTACAATACCTCCTTCACACATCTCTGCACAAAAATATGAATATGATGATTTTGTCATCTTTGTATTTTGTTATTTTGCAAAAACCCAAATTTCAGGGAGGATGGTGGGCTAGACCCGATACATAGAGATTGGGGAGGGGGTGGGTGTGGGTGTGGTGAGAAATTGCAGGGAGGGTGGGTGGGGTATGAGGGCAGGGACGATGGAGAAGGGAGGAAGGGACAGTGAGGTCTTCCAAATGGTTTTGAATTTGGGTTAAGGGGAGGGACTTGGAATTTTTTTTTCCTGCAAAAGCAGCAGGCTTGCAAAGACTCAAGAGGTGCTGTGGAGTTTCATTTGTTGACTTTGCCAAAGCAAAAGAGTCAGTTTGCTTAATCAATGGAGTTCAAGTGTGAGGATGGGTCTGGGTGGAGTGGTGGGTTATGAAGATGTGTCTGGGTGCGAGAGAGAGAGAGAGAGAGAGAGAGTAATAAAAAAGTTGAAATATTTTTTGAATAAAAATACTCAATAAGGGTACATTTGGAAAAGAAAACTTAGCTTGTTTTATGTGTAAGAAGAATGACACATGTTAAACAAAAAGGGAGAAGATCCAAAGGAAAAGGTTAGAGAGAAGGTTGCTAGCATTCTTCTTTTTGTAAATATGATTTTTTTGTTGTTGAGAACTTCTTGAATTGCATTCATAATTTGGCCAAAAAAGCCACTAGTCATAAATGGTAAATAGAAACTAGCCATAAAGGCTATTACAATAATGGAGCGATCTAACATAAAAATTAAGACAATATGGGGGCCCTCCACTAACGATCACATGTGATCTAAAAAATTATGGCACATGCATCCCAACTAAGAGTGCAAACTCAGAAAAAAGAAAAAGAAAAAAAGATAAAGCTTGAAAAAACCAAGTTATAACAATATAAATAAAACTCTGACAAAGAAGAGGTGAATAGCTCTCACAAATGAGAGGTAAAATATTCTCACAAAAGGATAAACGAAAACTACATAGAAAACTCAAAGAGTCACGGTGATTTATTCTAACCATGAAAAAATCACAAAAACAGATGGTGGTAAAGATTCGACACCGAAATGCAGTTGGAAATTCGATGCTGAGATGCATCCATCTGTGATGAGTTGATGAAAATCATTACAAAATCTAGACAAATAGGGAAAACCTTATGTCTCTAAGAAAAGGAAAAATGGAGAGAGAGGAAGAGAGGAGGGGAGGAAGAACAATGACTTCCTCCCCTCTCAAAGTAAAAACGTATGTAGAGTGTTTTTTGGGAGGGAGGAGGCTAGAGTTTTCGTTTTGACATTTAAATTGTGATTTTTGAAATGAACAATTTCTATCATGACTCGTTTTGTGGATTCAAGTAGATTTGCATACTCCTTTAATTTATGCTCTTATATTCTAGTTCAGTAGATTTTATCAAACGTTCTTTGAAATCTGGATCATATTAATTGGATTTCCCATATCTCAAATCTCAACATCAAGAGCCAATCGAGCATGATCTGTGTAGACAAGTCTTGTTTCAAAGTCCTATATATCCCAGAATTTCAAGACGTACGCTTTTCATGCATGGCATCATGGCATGGCTGATTGATATGCGCAAAGACAGAAAAATCACCAGTCACTGTGGCGCATAAGACACTCAAAAGCTTGGATGAATGAATGGAAAGAAGAGAAGATAGAAAAGAAAGAAAAAAAAACACATCGGGAAGGCGCTCAGGCGCTCAGGCTCAGGGCTCCTCACGTATGATTTGACCACTCAAATCGTGTACTTTAAGCAAAGGCGCAAAAATGTCTGGTTCTTACTTTAAGAGATTGTATCCTCTTATTATTATTGTGTAGTTCCTTATTCGTATCACGGCACAACCTTTTGCATGAAGAAGGGAAGTCCTAGTCTTTGGAAGCATATGATTTCACACGGTTTTCAATGTGGCTAAAAGCAACAGATATTTCCAGGCCTAGATTAAGCAGGCTATCTATCGAAACATAACCTTGACTCTTCCTTCCAAAGCCGACAAGCACAACCAGGACAAAAGAAATTTGCACAAGAGCCAACATCTCTATACTACTATATTAATTTTTAATTTCATTTAAGTGTAAAAAGCAAAACATGAAAAAGAGTTCTCGTGAAGCACAAAGAATATTATTTAAAAAGCAAACAGAAAAAATGTGTTCTCGTGGAAAGTGTCCCTTGTTTGCAGGGTGTACTCAATTGCACCACATCACCTTTTTCCCTCTCTCTCTCTCTCTCTCTCTCTCTCTCTCTCTCTCTCTCTCTCACTTTCAAACAAAGCCATGTGTGTGCCTCTCCTCTCTCTCTCTCTCTCTCTCTCTCTCTCTCTCACTTTCTCTCACACACACTTTCAAACAAAGCCATGTGTGTGCCTGCCTGCCTTTTCAAACCACCCCCCATCAAATCCCCTCCTCTCTCTTTCTTTCTTTCAGCTTTGTTCTTGTCTGGCTAAACCTGAAGCCACAACCCAAGTTCAGCAATATGCAATTTCAGCACCTTGTGTTAATGGTGTTGGTTTTTTTCTCAATGCTGGTCTCTGGGTACAAGGAAAACACGATGCCACTATCTGTACCCAATAATGGGGAGCAAAAACAAGAAGAACATGAAGATGATATGAATAAGCAGCCACAGCAGCAGCAGCAGCAGCAGAGGTTGAGGCACTCATTTGAGGCCTTCTTTTCAAGCAAGAGGAAAGTTCCAAACGCTTCTGACCCGCTCCATAATCGTTGACAAGGAAGTAATGTGAAAACCAGATGTTGAAGCACTCATTTTGTCAACTTCTGCAGGCTTAGTAAGTAACTAGTTCCTATTAACTTCTTTGTTCAATATTATCTATTTTGTAGTTTCTATTCTATACCAGCCAAATCAATGTATAAATTTAACATTAGTCCCCCTCCTCTCCTCTCTTCAAAAAACACAAATCCTGAATCCGACCTCCTAATATTCTTTTAGTAGCCACGCTTTTGCCATACATTTAATTGATTTATCTTTTGTGGTTGCATAACTCGCAGTGCATTTGTTTTTGCTACATATTTTAACAAGAAAAAAAAAAGCGTCTTCAACTGCAACTGCATTTACTCAGTGATAAATTACTGTATGAGTATGAAGGTGCAATGTGCTCGCCCCCATTGTACCGAGTTCGATTCCCTTTCTGTACATTAGATTAGTTAGAATATCGTTTTGTCAAAGGAAAAAAAACAGAGGGAAGGAAAAGAACCAAAATGGGCTTTGGAATTCCAGGTATAGTTTTTACACTGAAGCCAGCGTGAATGGTCTTGGTTTACACATAGCCTCCAAGGGCTTAACCCTTGGCATCATAAGACCCAAGCCTTCACTCATATCCATCATGTCCTCCCCAATCCTCTCCCACTCAAATGACTGAACCAAGCTTTCCAAGAGCCAGTTCAACCAACCTGTTTGCTAAGCCAGCCCCAGGACATCCGCGCCTTCCAGCCCCAAACAGGATTAGCCTATATCCTCCTTCAAGCCCTCCATCACCAATCCATCTTTCAAACCTCTCTGGCTTAAACTTTGTGGGGTCCTCCCACACCTCAGGGTCCCTATGGATGGCCCACGCATTCACCACCAGCATTGTATGACGTGGCACGTCAAATCCCCCCACCAGAGAGTCCTCGGAGGCTTCACGGGGCACCAGAATTGGAAAAGGTGGGTACAAGCGGAGTGTCTCATTGATCACATTTTGCAAGTAACACAGCTTTGGCAAGTCTTGCGCTTCCAACGCACGCTTTTCTCCAACCTTGGTCTCTATCTCATCTCTCACTTTCTCCATTTGCCCTGGATGGTTTAGCAACAGCGCCATTGCCCATTCTAGGGTTGTTGATGACGTGTCACTCCCCGCAACCAGCAACACCTACAATCAGTCCACATTTAACTAACTAACGGTCACCTCCAAAAAAACACAAAAACTAAAAACAAAGAAGTGTGAGTTACCAAAATGAATCCTTTGATTATTTCGTCGGTGTAGAATTCGGGCTCTGTTTGTTGCATTGACAATAAGTTATTGATCATGAACATGTTGCCCTCTATACCATTTGATGCCAAATTGCGTGACAAAATTCATCCACTGTAAAATTGGCATCAACCTCGCCATCTTCTTCTCCAACCCTGATATATCCGTTCACTGTAAAATTGGCAAAAAGTCTCCCAAATTCGTCGTTGTGGGTAGGTCAACGGCGTCCCTCATAACCTCCCGGAAATGCTTAGCCTCTTCAACATCCTCAACATCTTCGCCGTGGTGCCGCTTCCCCAAAACCATCATCGTCATCACGTTGAACGAAAGCTCCATGAACTTGGATTTGAGCTCGATCTTTGTCATCCCCTGTTGCGTGCAAGCACAGCTCTTCATCGTCTGATTCAATAGCAAACGGACTTCAGCTTGCCTGACGCTCGAAGACGTGGCGAGGCGAGAGGAGGAGAAGATCTCGAGAGTCATGACGCGGCGGAGGTTGGGCCAGAGGTCTCCATAGGGTGCGGCGGCGACGGTTTTGAAGTTGTAGTGGAAGTGTTTCCCGGCAAGCAAGCGTGGGCGGTTGGAGAGGATGATGTCGTGCTTCGTGTAACATTCTTCCGCGATCGAAGGCGAAGAGATCAAGAGGACTCTGCGTGAACCCCATCGGAGAAGTAGAATTTTGCCCAAGTTTGAAGAAAGAGATTGGAGGGTGCGGTGAATTGGTTCTTTCAGAAGATGGAGATGGCCAATAATTGGGAGAGACAGTGGGGAGGGGGGAAGGTTCTTATTGTGATTTTGTCTAATTTTAGCGACGGTGAAATTGAGAAGCAAGATGGAGGTGAAGGTGATGATGAGAGCTTAAGTGTACCAGAAGGGTTCTCCCATTCTTTGGGTTGATTGATTGATCCTCTTTGATCAAATGTGCAATGTTTTGCTTTATGATCAGTATTCTTGGTCCTCTTGTTTCAGTTTTGGTCCCACTAGAAACTTTTGTACTCATCCTAAAAATAAAGAAAGTTTTGCTACATCTCCACAAACTTCAGAAGAACCTCCGCCTGCTAGGTAGGGAGACATTAATAAGAGTAGTGTGGATGGCCTTGGTTTACACATTGCCTCCAAGGGCTTAGACCTATCCTCTTCCACGCCCAGCTTATATACCCTTCAGAGCCCTCACCACTCCATCCTTCAAACCTCTCTGGCCTAAACTCTGTAGGGTCCTCCCACACCTCAGGGTCCCTGTGGATGGCCCACGAATTGGTCACCAACATTGTATGACATGGCACATCAAATCTTCCAACCCACAATCCTCAGAAGCTTCATGGGGCACTAGAAGTGGGACAGGTGGTTACAGGCGCTGTGTCTCATTGATCACATTTTGCAAGTCAGCTTTGGCAAGTCTCGCTCTTCCAATAGACGCTCTTCCCCGACGTTGGTGTCTATTTCGGCTCTTACTTTCTCCATTACCTCTGGATGGTTTACCAACAACGCCATTGCCCATTCTAGGGTAGTTGATGTCGTATCTGTCCCAGCTACCAGCAATATCTACAATTAAATAGTGATTAGTGGACACTTTAAAAAAGTAATCACGCATCCTTTTTTGTAAGAGTGTTGCTAAACGAATTTTAAAATTAACTGAGTACACCATATTATCAAACTATTTTTTGAATTACTAATTTACCCTTATATAAAATGACCAAAAAAGATATATTTAATTGTGAAATAAATGTAATTTTAATAAGTACACCATACTCTAAAAAAATAATAGGTACACCATATTCGACCAAAAAAACACCAAAGTATACTTTTTTTTTGGGGTTTGTTTGTTAACCTCAATAATACAAAAAAATGAATGATTAGGGAGGGACCAACCATAAGGCCAAGCTGGATTAACAAATGTGTCCTGAGATGGGTAAGTTAAGAATGGATCTTGTACTATGAGACAACCATCACAATGTCTGTCTGATTCATATAGAATTGCAGAATTAATGACAATGATGATATTTCTTCTGAAAACTTTTCAAACAGAAGAAAAAATATGAGTCCTAAACTTCTGACTCCGCATACAAAAAAAGGTTCCAGCCAACCATTTGCATTTGATTCTGAATTTGAATGAGGTTCCAGCCAACCAAGGCCAACAACGCTGCAAATTTAAAGGCGACACTACAATGTGATTCCCAGTTACACCACTTCACACTGTATTTCAATCCTTGGCCACCAAATGAACATGCTTATGCTTGTTCTCAACTTTAAATATGGAGCTTGGATTGATATGGCACCAAACAAATAATATGATTAAAAAATAATAATGTAAAGGTGGAGCAAAGATCAATAGATACTGTTGATACCAAAATCAGCGGCTAATAAGAACAAGACGCATGGACAAAATATGGCATCAGCAGGGAGGCCCCGGCACCCAAGCTACCGATCGCAATGAAAAAGCATAAAATCGCCCACTAGACACGTGGAGCCTCCATAATGATTGTCTACAGTCCCACATCAAAATCCTACAAAACTTACACACCTCCCAATGTCTATAAAAGGAACACAATTCCCCAAAATGGAGGTAATCTAAACTTTCGGCATACTGCCTTTACATATGTTCAAATCTCTTACTAAATCCGTACTTACTTAAGCATCAGAGAGTCTTCTGCAGGTACCACACCGGTACCTTAGGTCTTACCGAGCGAACCGTTATTTTGCAGGATCACGCCCTACCGAAGCCTAAGCACTCCGAAGGCCCAGACATCACTAAGTTGAGCCCAAAAGTACCGAATCACTTTTTCGCATCAACATATACCATTTAATTGAAGGTACTAAATAAACATTGGATAGGCAAACCTTGTGATCAAGCAGATCACTGTATCACTGAGTTTGGCTTCATCATCTGTTATGCCCGATTCTTCAATAGACTTCAAAGTTGTTTTAAGTTTTTATAATGGTGTATTAGGATGTAACGAGGGTATTTTTGGTAGTCAAATAGGTTAAACTTAGTTAATTTTACATTTTAATTTAAATATTAGGGTGTACTCAGTTAATTTTAGGGTTCGATAAGCAGCACTCTTTTGTAATTAGTGGACTTTTGATTGCGAAAAAGGTTCAATTTACCATATTTCACGAGGGCTGGTCGACTTTGAAGGATATTATTTAAGCCAATAAAGTATGGATGTCTGCATCATATCTAGGGATGACAATGAGTTGTGTCGTGTTGGGAAAATAAATATGTCAAGAATGCTCAACTCAAATCTGACCCATTTAATAAAACGTGTCTCGTCAGTTTTAGGTCATGTTAAAGTTAAACAGGTAATTAAACATGTTATATGGTTAATAACCCATTTAACAAATTATAATTGCTAATATTTGAGTTCTTATCTAAATTTGACCAAAAAAGGAATTCTCATCATAATCAAAGAAGAATGTTTTCTAAAGCCTTGCAATAAATTGACTTCGATTGATAACATGCCTCTTTAGATTCTCCCATATGTGTGGTTACAATTAGTAACTAGCAAGCTAAAAATATAAATGAAATAAAAAATTTAGTTTTTCTTTTCTTTTCAAAATCACTTGCATAATTGACTATTGGGTAAAAATTAAAAACAAATAAAAAGGAAGAATAACTTGAATGGCCCATACAAGAATCACTTGCATACTTGAGTATTGGGCAATAAGTAAAAACAAATGCAAAAAACCAATAAAGACCCACATCTTAAATTCACAAGGTCATAAAAAAAAAGAATAAAAAACCTGAATTTTGATAATTTAATCAAATAATTGTAGTTTGCAATTTTATATTTTTAATATAAAAATAGTGATTAAATTTTGCCTCTATGCATGTATGAAGATTGGGAGAGAAATAAATAAAAAGAATTTTAAAATGAGAAAAATTAAGAAAATTAAGAAGAAACAAATAAACGGGTTGATGGATTGGTGGGTATTACACGAGTTGACACGACCCGTTTAATTATTTAATACTTATATCTACCCATAGAAAAATTGAAATGGTCCAAATCATAGTAATTACTAGAAGTTGAAGAATAAATATACACGATAATGAGTTTAAAACTATAAATAATTACTCGTGCATCCGAGATTGTGTTCTATTTTTTCTTTTATTTCCAATGAGTAATTGAAATCGGTCACAACTAATGCCTAATGGTGAAAGAAATTGTGTCAAAAAGAACAAACCAACCTCTAAATTTCTGAAAATTAAGTAAATATTATCACACCCCGAAAAGAAACATAATAATAATCAGTTGTGTTGAGGATTTATGAATTACCAAAATGATTCCTTTGATTATTTTTCAGTCTGAGTAGACTTGGGGCTGTGTCTCTTGCATTGACAATGAGTTATCAATCATCAACTTCTTAACCCCTTTTTCATCAGATGAACAATTCGTTGATGACAAAATTACTCGACGCTCGTTAACTAAGCCCTGCAAGAATTTGTCCAACTTTGCCATCAACCCTACCATCTTCTTCTCCACACCTAAATCAATCCACTGTAAAACTGGCAAAAAGTCTCCCATATTCGTTGATCCGGATATGTCCACAGCGTCCCTAATAACCTCCCGCAAGTTCTTGGCCTCTTCAGCATCTCCAACATCTTCACCATAGTACCGTTTCCCGACAACCATCATCTCACATTAAACGAAAGCTCCATGAACTTGATCGTGAGCTCAATCTTTGTCATGTTCTCGGCACAACTACTCTTCATTATTTGATTCAGTAGCAAACGAACTTCCCCTCGTCTGACACTTGAAAACATGGCAAGGCCAGAGGAGGAGAAGATTTCAACAATCATAATGCAGGAGGAAGTTGCGCCAGTGGTCTCCGTAGCGCCATAGCGACAGTGGTGTAGTTGTAGTGGAAGTGTTTTCTGGCAAGCATGCGTGGGCGGTTGGCGAAGATGATGTCATTCTTTGTGTTTTCAGCGACCCTAGGGCAAGAGACCACAAGCACTGTCCATGAACCCCAACGGAGGAGGGTTTTTCCGAAGTTTGAAGAAAGAGATGTTAGGTGGATTGGTTCTTTTAGAAGATGTAGGTGGCCAATATTGTTATGGGAAAAGATGGTGGGCTTGGGGGCAGGTTGTTCTTGTGTTTTTGTGTAATTTTAGTAATGGGTAGCTTCAGAAGCAAGGTGAAGATGATGATGAGAGCTAAACTGTAACAGAAGTAGGCCTAACCAGAAGGGTTCTTCCATTCTTTTGATTGAATCTCTCTTTGATCAAATATAGCATATATATTGATTTTCATTCTTGGTCCCGTTATTTTAATTTGATCTCACAGGTGAATTTGACATGAAATTTCAATTCTAAGTCTCTTTCAATTTTTTTGCTCCCTCTAAGGTGATAATTAGTAATTGGATTAATCAAGGAATTTTTGTTTTATGTTCCCACGTTGAATTTTTGTTTTTGTTTTTGTTTTGGTTTTGGTTTTGGTTGGAGAATTATTGTTTAATAATCCTTTATAATATTGAAAAAATATTTAGTGATAAGTTTTTAGTTCCAAATTTGCTATCACATATATACAATTCTTTGAAGAAATTTGTTGAAGATTTTGGTTTAGGAGACCTCAATTTTGATTGTGCACAAGGCCTCAATAAAACTCAGAGCCACTCTTACCTACAAAGCCGAACACGTATAAATCTTGGTGTTCTTATTTATTGTTGGTTTGCTTCTTTAATCTTATTTATTGTTGATGTTTCTTTTCTTTCACAATTTTACCCATATTGGTTGATGCTTCGGCACAACATTTATTATTCTTGGTCCTTTTATTTTAATTTGGTAACACTGCTGGAATCTTTTGTAATCATCCTAAACTCAGAGCAAAAAAGTTTGGGGTTGACTTCCACCATCAATGCTTTCGGCCTTTTCCTTGTGTTTGCAAACAATTCCAGTTACACCACATTATTATTTACGTAGGTCCTGTAATGAAGAGAATATGCCAATTCGCATTTAAAAAAAGAACACGCCAATTGCCAAGTTGTTTTATATAGGCGCAAGTTCATAGCTACACCATTTCACATTGACCAAAAAAGAGCCAAGAGAATGGGAGAACCCTTCTGGTATAGTTTAGCTCTTATCATCTTCACCTTGCTTCTCAAGCTCTCCATTGCTAAAATTACCCAAAAACACAACAACTTGCCACCAAGCCCACCATCTCTTCCCATCATCGGCCATCTTCATCTTGTAAAACAACCAATCCACCGAACACTCCAAGCTCTTTCCGAAAAATACGGCAAAGTTCTTCTACTCCGCTGGGGTTCACGCAGAGCCCTCTTGGTTTCTTCGCCTTCGCTAGCAGAAGAGTTTTTCACAAAGCATGACATCATCTTCGCCAACCGCCCACGCTTTCTTATCGGAAAACACTTAGGCTACGACTTCACAACAGTCATTGTAGCTCCCTATGGAGACCTCTGGCGCAACCTCCGCCGCATAATGACCCTTGAGCTCTTCTCCGCTTCTCGCCTCGCCCAGTTTTCGAGTATCAGACAAGGAGAAGTCCGTTTGCTACTGCAAGAGATAATGAAGAGTTGCACAGAGAGCATGACAAAGATCGAACTCATGTCAAAATTTACGGAGCTTTCATTTAATGTGATTACGATGATGGTTGTGGGAAAGAGGTTCCACGGTGAAAATGTTTTGGATGCTGAAGAGGCTAAGAATATACAGAAAGTTATTAGGGACGGAGTGGACATATCTGGGGCTACAAATTTGGGAGACTTTTTCCCGTTCTTACAATGGATGGATATAACGGGGATTGAGAAGAAGATGATGAGGTTGATGGCAAAGATGGACAGCTTTTTGCAGGGCTTGGTTGACGAGCGTCGCGAAACTTTGTCTGCAAATTGTGGATCGAATGGGAAAGAGGTGAAGAAGTTGATGATTGATAACTTGCTGGCGCTCCAAGAAACAGAGCCCATGTTCTACACTGACGAAATAATCAAGGGAATCATTCTGGTAAGTAATCCATATTTTTAAATCTTGCACTTCTTTAATTAGTTCAACTAATTTAGTTTTAGTTCATGAGGCCACTATATTAAGCTTAAGCTTAAGCTGGGGTTTTTCTTGTGTGTCTTTCTTAAAATTTCAACTAATTCATTCATAGTATAACAAATACATGTATATTTATTAATATTATTTTATCATAAAGTATAAAATGCCATACACCCATATTATGACACTTGGACTAATATCACTACATTAGCATACAATAATTATTTCAAGATAGTCGCATCAATTTTATTAGTGAAATGAAGAAAAAAAAAAACACACACACACAAGATAACGTAGCCGCTCTTGCAAACAATAGAAAAATACAATTACAATAAACACAACTATTACAAGACAATGAGGAAAATCAATTTCAGCTTTATAATATATATGATTTGCCCAGCATTTGTACTTATTTAATTGTCTGCGCATCAAATGGTAGCTGCAGGTTGAAGCAACTTACAAAATATTAATGCATATGTCAACTAATTAAATTACCAAGTTAATTGTAGGTGGTGCTGGGAGCTGGGACTGACACGTCAGCAACAACCATAGGTTGGGCAATGGCGCTGTTGCTGAACCATCCAGAGGAAATGCAGAAAGTGAGAGCTGAGATAGAAACCAAGGTTGGAGAAAAGCGTGCATTGGAAGAGCAGGACTTGCCAAAGCTGAGTTACTTACAAAATGTGATCAATGAGACACTTCGCTTGTACCCACCTACTCCACTTCTATTACCTCATGAAGCCTCTGAGGATTGTGTGGTGGGGGGATTTGATGTGCCACGTCATACTATGTTATTTATTAATGCGTGGGCCATCCATAGGGACCCTGAGCTGTGGGAGGACCCCACAGAATTTAGGCCAGAGAGGTTTGAAGGGTGGAGTGGTGAGGGTTCTGAAGGGTACAAGCTAATTACGTTTGGGGCTGGAAGGCGTGGATGTCCAGGGGCTGGGCTTGCAAACAAGTTGATTGGATTGGCACTCGGAAAATTGATTCAGTCATTTGAGTGGGAGAGGATTGGTGAAGATGATGTGGATATGACAGAAGGTTTGGGGCTTAACATGCCAAGGGCCGAGCCCTTAGAGGCTATGTGCAAACCGCGCCCAATCATGCTAAGCTAACTTCCATATAAACAACATCAAAAACCACACCAAGTCTTCCCTATGTTGAAATAGTACCAGAAGCGTTCTGCCATTCGTTTGATCAAATATAGCTTATTGGTTTATGTTTATTATTATTGGTCCTTTTTTTAATTTGGTCGCACAGCTGGAATCTTTTGTCTTCATCCTAAACAATTCCAAGTTGCACCATATTTACGTATGTCCTGTAATTAATAGAATATGCAAGTTCATAGCTACACCATTTCACATTGACCAAAAAAGAGCCAAAATAATGGAAGAACCCTTCTGGTATAGTTTAGCTCTTATCATCTTCAACTTGCTTCTCAAGCTCTCCATAGCTAAAATTACCCAAAAACACAACAACTTTCCACCGAGCCCACCATCTCTTCCCATCATTGGCTATCTCCATCTTCTAAAACAACCAATCCACCGAACTCTCCAAGCTCTTTCAGGAAAATTTGGTAAACTTCTGCTACTCCGCTGGGGTTCACGCGGAGTCCTCTTGGTTTCTTCACCTTCGCTAGCAGAAGAGCTTTTCACAAAGCACGACATCATCTTCGCCAACCGCCCACGCTTGCTTATCGGAAAACACTTAGCCTACGACTTCACAACTGTCAGTTTAGCTCCCTATGGAGACCTCTGGCGCAACCTCCGCCGCATAATGACCCTTGAGCTCTTCTCCGCTTCTCGCCTTGCCCAGTTTTCGAGTATCAGACAAGGAGAAGTTCGTTTGCTACTGAATGAGATAATGAAGAAAAGTTGTACTGAGAGAAAGACAAAGATCGAGCTCGAGTCAAAATTTACGGAGCTTTCATTTAACGTGATGACGATGATGGTTGTGGGAAAGAGGTTCTACGGTGAAAATGTTTTGGATGTTGAAGAGGCTAAGAATATACAGAAGGTTATTAGGGACGGAATGGACATATCTGGGGCAGCAAATTTGGGTGACTTTTTCCCATTCTTACAGTGGATTGATATATCGGGGATTGAGAAGAAGATGGTGAGTTTGATGGCAAAGATGGACAGCTTTTTGCGGGCTTGGTTGAAGAGCGTCGTGAAATTTTGTCCACGAAGTGTGGATCAAATGGAAAAGAGGTCAAGAAGTTGATGATTGATAACTTATTGGCGTTGCAAGAAACAGAGCCCCAATTCTACACTGAAGAAATAATCAAGGGAATCATTCTGGTAAGTAATCCAAATTTTTAAATCTTGCAATTTTTAAGTGTATTTATTTATCAGAACTTGCACTTCTTTAATTAGTTAAACTAATTTGGTTTTAGTTATTGAGGCATTATCATTAAGCTTATTATAAGACGAAGCTTTTCTTTGGTTTTTCTTCAAGTTTCAACCGATTCATTTATATTATAACACGTGTATATTTATTAATATTGTATCCTAAAATATAAAATGTCATACACTCATATTATGACACTTGAACTAATATCGCTACCTTCTAGACATAATACATTATCAAATGGTAGCTGCAGGATTAAGCAACTTACAAAATGTCAACTAATTACCAAGTTAATTGTAGGTGATGCTGGTAGCTGGGACTAACACTTCATCAACAACACTAGATTGGGCAATGGCGCTGTTGATAAACCATCCAGAGACAATGGAGAATGTAAAAGCTGAGATAGAAGCCAAGATTGGACAAGAGCGTCTGTTGGAAGAGCAAGACTTGCCAAAGCTCACTTACTTACAGAATGCGATCAATGAGACACTTCGCTTGTACCCACCAAGTCCACTTCTATTCCCTCATGAAGCCTATGAGGATTGTGTTGTAGGGGGATTTGATGTGCCACGTCATACAATGTTATTCATTAATGCGTGGGGCATCCATAGGGACCCTAATACGGGCCCAGTACGATACAAATGGTTTCCATTAGGCAAATGTATGGTAACTCAAAAGATTGGGCTCGTTTCCCCCAAAAAAGAAGAAGAACAATTTGGGCGATATAATTTAGTGCGAGTTGACATAATATATAAATTGTTTTATTCTATTTGAGTACCTAGCTCGTCCTATTGTTGAATTCTTTTGTCCTTTTCCATATTTTTCCAATTGTCACGTTCTTATATATAAATATGTGGGTGCAAGTTCATAGCTACATCATCTCATATTGACAAAAAGAGAGTCAAACGAATGGAAGAACCCTTTTGGTACGGTTTAGCTCTCATCATCTTCACCTTGCTTCTCAAGCTATCCACAACTAGACAAAAACACAAGAAGAACTTGCCCCCAAGCCCACCATCTCTTCCCATGATCGGCCATCTCCATCTTGTAAAACAACCAATCCGCCGAACCCTCCAAGCTCTTGCTCAAAAATTCTGCAAAGTTCTCCGACTCCGCTGGGGTTCACGTAGAGTCCTCTTGGTTTCTTCGCCTTCGGTAGCGGAAGAGCTTTTCACAAAGCACGACATCATCTTCGCCAGCCGGCCACGCTTGCTTGTTGGAAAACACTTTGCCTATGACTTCACAACAGTCACTTTGGCTCCTTATGGAGACCTCTGGCGCAACCTCCGCCGCGTTATGACTCTTGAGGTCTTCTCCTCTGCTCGCCTTGCGCAATTTTCGAGTATCAGGCAAGGAGAAGTCCGCTTGTTACTAAATCAGACAATGAAGAGTTGTGCTAAGAGCATGACAAAGGTCGAGCTCAAGTCAAAGTTTACGGAGCTTTCGTTTAATGTGATGACAATGATGGCTGTGGGGAAGAGCAGTGGCGGTTCCAGCCATGGGTTGGCTGGGCTCATGCCCGACCCAAAATTTTGACCAAAAAAAAATACTAAGTAACTTGCCTAGCCAATAAGTAACTTGTCCAGCCAATAATTCAAAGGCAAGTAGCCCACTCACTTAAACAAGCCCACTTAAACAAAGAATATATGCACTGCAAGTGCAACAACCAAAATTAAAATCTGAAGTGAACCCGCGTGCAGTCAGCCACCAAACAGAAACTTCACTCTCTGTGAAAAATATCAGCACTTCCCTCTCCGTCTCAAGCTCAACCTTCAGCCACCATCAACTCAACTTTCAACTTCTTTGCAGGAGCAACTTCTCTTCTTGGCAACAAGTATTCTTCTCTCATTCTCTCATTTTAATTATCTTATGCTCTTTAATTTGAATAGAAAATATTCTAGGGTTTAATTAGGAATGAATTCTAATTGGGAGATTTTGTTGAAATTAATTAGGGCTTTGATTTTAAGAATTTTGTTGAGATATTTAATTTGTTGTTGGTATTGTTGTGATGTTTAATTTGTTGTTGGTATTGTTGAGATGTTTGATTTGTGTGTTGTGTTGGTATGTTTGATTAAATGCATTGATTATATTATGATAATTAGTTTTGTTGTTGTTGACATGTTTGACTAAAATAATTTGTACATATTATTTATAAGTTATCTTTTATTATGTCGGATCATAATCGGAACCCCAAGAAAATAAAGAACTTGTTGTCTTTTTTTAAGAAAAAGAATGATGGTGGGTCATCATCTAATACGATGCCTAGCACTTCTTTATCTACTCCTCTAATTTGTGATGAGCAAAATCTTCCTGAGTCTCCCATTGTTGAGCCTCAAATTGAAAGAGTTGAGAGTCAAAGAGTTAATGATGATCGAGATTTTAATATCAATTATCTTGAACGTGATCCAGGATTACGTCGTCTAATATGCAAATATTCAGTGAATGAACAAGATAATGTGCGAAGAGCATATATTCTTTTAGGGCCATGTCAACCCGAGTTAGAAGATTATCCAAGCCACTTAGAAGGGAAAATCTTACGTCGATTTAATAAAAAGTAGTTTGGTCAATTCTCTTGGCTTGAGTATTCAGTTGCTAAGAACAAGACATTTTATTTTCCTTGTTTCCTATTTGATAGGACTCAATCATTTCTAGCATTTACTGTTGATGGGTTTCAAAGTTGGAAGAGAATTGGTGGGAATCATTGTGTATTTCAACATCATGTAGGCAAACTAAATTCACCACATCATCTTTCTATGCAAAAGTGGATTAGCTTAAAAAATCCTTATGTTCATATTGAAGAAGTGGTAGAAAAGCAATCAAATCAACAAGTGATGGACAATCAGTTGCGACTTACAACCACAATAGAGGACATTGTAAGTGTTTTAAATTTTGTTGAGAACACAAAAATGCAACTTGAAGATATGAGGGAAAATGGTTGGGATGATTTTTTCATGAGTGTGGTATCATTTTGTGAACTACATTGTGTTGATGTTCCTGATATGGGTGGTCGTTATATGACGGGCACACGTCGTTCTTGCCAACAAAAAGATTTTATTATAATTGAGCATGCCTATCGCATTGATGTATTTAATGATGTTATAGATTGCATGATGAGGGAGTTAAATGATAGATTTCCTGAGCAAACAGTTGAACTTCTTACTCTTAGCTCAGCATTGGATCCGCGTAATTCTTTCATGTCATTCAATATTGAGCATATATGTAAACTTGCTCAGAAATTCTATCTTGCTGATTTCCTTCCTCATGAGTTGAAAGCTTTAGAAGTAGAGCTCAAGTATTTTCAGAATGATATAAAACGTCTTCCATGCTTTAAGGAAATCACTACTCTTTCTCAGTTATGTCAACAATTGGCGGAAACAACTTTGGGGGAAAACTACTATTTGATTGACATGTTGGTTCGGTTGGTGTTGACTCTTCCTGTTTCTACAGCAACAACGGAACGAGCTTTCTCATGTATGAGAATTATTAATAATCAACTTCGAAGCACCATAAGTGATGAATTTCTTGGTGATTGTATGATCCTCCACATTGAAAGAGAGTTTGCCATTGCTATTGACAATGCATCCATAATTGAGGAATTTAAGAGTTTTAAGCCTCGTAGGGTTAGATTTTAGATTTAAATAATGTTGTTTTGTATTGCATTGCATTGCATTTAACTTTTGTTTTTATTTTAGTTTTTGTATTTGCAGATCTAGATGCATTTGAGGGTAAGGCTCATTAAGTCCCCCTTGACTAGGTGTATCTTTTTATGTTTATTAATGAAATTCACTCGTACCGTCGAGTTTATTACATAAATTTTGCCCAGTCAGCTTTCGAATCTTAGAACCGCCACTGGGGAAGAGGTACTACGGTGAAAATGTTTTGGATGCTGAAGAGGCTAAGAATATACAAAAGGTTATTAGGGACGGAGTGGATATATCCAGGGCAACAAATTTCGGAGACTTTTTTCCGTTCTTACAATGGATGGATATGACGGGAATTGAGAAGAAGATGGTGAGCTTGATGGCAAAAATGGACAACTTTTTGCAGGGCTTGGTTGATGAGTGCCGTGAAATTTTGTTAGCGACTTGTGGATCGAATAGGAAAGAGGTCAAGAAGTTGATGATTGATAATATGTTTGCGCTCCAAGAAAGGGAACCCCAATTCTACACTGATCAAATAATCAAGGGAATTATTATGGTACGTAATTCATATTTAAATCATGCAATTCATTTATTATAGTTTTAGTTGTTTTGTTTTTTCTCGAAATTTTGAAGTAATTCAGCCATATTATACCACGTGTATTTTTTATTAATATTATAACATAAAGTATAATTAAGTCAAAAGAAATGGTAGTTTTATTTGTATGATTTGGAGTCCTAGTATTAATGTCATAGATTCAATGTTGTTGGATGCTTGTACTAAATAATTGGATGAGATAACTTGGTAGTTTCTGCATATAAAAACTGAATAGTGGCAAGGGAGAAAGAGACATAACATCTAATCAAATGGTGGCTGACGCAACTTACAAAATGTCAACGCAACCTAGAATGAGGTTATTGTATGTGCAAGTCTATTCCCCTGGAGGGCAGGGCAAGTCAACGCAACTTGCAAAATGTCTTCTTGTTTTTGTCTGTATTACAAAATGTCAACTAAGTTAATTGCAGGTGATGCTGGTAGCCGGAACTGACACTTCATCAGCAACCCTAGAATGGGCAATGGCGCTGCTGCTAAACCATCCGGAGGCAATGGAGAAAGTAAGAGCCGAAATAGACACCAAGGTTGGACAAGAGAGCGTCCGTTGGAAGAGCAAGACTTGCCGAAGTTCACTTACTTACAAAATGTGATCAATGAAACACTTCGCTTGTACCCACCCGCTCCACTTCTGGTGCCTCATGAAGCCTCTGAGGATTGTGCGGTAGGGGGATTTGATGTGCCACGTCATACTATGTTATTCATTAATGCGTGGGCCATCCATAGGGACCCTGAGCTGTGGGAGGACCCTACAAAATTTAAGCCAGAGAGGTTTGAGGGATGGAGTGGAGAGGGCTCTGAAGGGTACAAGCTAGTTTCGTTTGGAGCTGGAAGGCGTGGATGTCCAGGGGCTGGCCTAGCAAGCAGGTTGGTTCGATTGGCACTGGGAAGTTTGGTTCAGTCATTTGAGTGGGAGAGGATTAGTGAAGAGAATGTGGATATGAGTGAAGGTTTGGGGCTTACCATGCCAAGGGCCAAGCCCTTGGAGGCTATGTGCAAACCACGCCCACTCATGCTAGCTTAGCTTCCATCATATAGCAACGCACGTAAGGACATGAAGTGGGGCCAATCAATAATACCTAGTAGCCCTATATATGTGGTCTAGGACTCATCAACTTGAAACAATAAGACCAAAATAATTTATTTCATGCATTTCATGCCTCCAATATAATTTACGTGATATCATTAGCACTTTGTCTGTAAAAGTTTAGGGCCGTTCGTTGGGGTTTTTGGAGGCCATTTTCCGTTTTCATTCTTAGAAAACACTAAGATTTGCATTTGGTGGCGAGTTTAAGTAAACACAGAAAACGTTTTTTGAAATCATTTTCAACCTTTTATTTTCAAAGAATATGGATTCACTGGCCAAAAAAACAATGCATAAGCCATCATTGTCAATGTAATTTAACCTTAGGATAATACTAGGATTATCACATTTATATACCACATCGTGTACCACATCTCTAATAAAGGTGGAGAGATGGTACACAATGTGGTATATAAATGTGATAAGCCTAGCGTTTTCCTTAACGTTATAACAACCTAACATAACAAAAACATTAAACCACCAAAAACATAACTATAAACCGTAAATGATAACACCCCATATTAATTAAAGTAAAATTAAACCTCCAAAGAAATAATGCTACAATTAGTTTTTTTAAATGATGAATATCACTAGTATTTTCAACACAAACATCAATTAGCTTGATCAATGTTGATTCACAAATAAAGATTATAAGCATCTTATGTTGCCGGACAATCTAGAAAAAGAAATATCTCACAAAATTATCTAATGGTAAAAATAATTTGAGCACCTTATTTTGATGGTTACATGCTTTTGGTATTTTGTTAACTTTTTCAGTCAATTTCAAGTTCTAGCATACTTGATTGGATCCGTGACAAATAGATAGATATGCCAAAGTTCTTTTATATGAAGATTCAAACAATGGGAGAACCTTTTTGGTACAGTTTAGCCCCCTTGTTTTGGTTATATTTTATAAAGCAATATTTTAATTTACTCTAATGTATGGGTGGTGAATCGAATTCGGGTGCAAATGAGTAGGCAGATACATTGTCTTGATCAACTGGTCTAACACAAGCTTGCAACTGGCCTAATAATTTATTTAGAATTGTTTAGGGTTTAAAATGCCTCAATCAAAGAAGGTTTAATTCTATAGTGATAACAATCATATTTAAGAGCATCTCCACCCACAAGGGCTAAGTCTAAGGCAAGGGCAAGCAAGGGCTGCCACTATTCACGTGAATAGTGTCAGCCTTTGCATTTGTGGTTCCACCCATGAGGGCAAAGTCTAGGGCAAGTCTAAGGCAATTACTATTCATTGTACTTTATTTCCTATTTGTTTATACTTTAAACTATTAATTTTGATAAGCTTTTTAGATTATATTTTCGGTTGTCACGTGTCACTATTTATTATAAAATTTTCATTTAAAATTTAAGATAACATTTTTCGAATAAAATTTTCAAATAAAATTTTTGGATAAAATTTTTTGAATAACATTTTTGGTTTTGCCTTGACTAATCTATTAAAAAAAAAAGAAATTGGAAATGCAAGATATATATATATAAAAAAAAATAAATAAAATGACATTAAATTGAATAAATGTTTTTTTTTTTTTTTTTTTTTTTTTTTTTTTTTTTTACCTCTCCCTCCCTCGTTGCCAAGATTTTGATGTGGAAAGTGAAAAATATTGGAAGGAGATGAGTTTTTATGAAGATTTGGTGTAGAAAGTGAATAAAATGGTTAGGTATTTATAGGGAAAAAATACAGAATTTTTTGGTATTAAAAAAAAAAAAATTCAGAATTTTTCAGAATTTTTTCGAATTTTGGCAAAAAAAAAAAATATTTTACTGTGCGCTGACGTCAGCGTGACGCCAGCGCTGACGTCAGCCAACTCGGGCTTCAGCCCGGGCAAGACTTGCCCTTGGGCTTGCTCGGGCACGTGGGACCCACCACCAAACTGGGCTACGGGCCCTGCGCTGGAGCTGCCTCGGGCTCCCTCTGGCAGCCTTTCCCCCGGGCTGGGCTTTGCGCTGGAGATGCTCTAAGGGTGTGAAGCTATGGATAGAAGTTTTGGCCCAAAAATAAAAAAGAAGCTATAAATGTGGAAATAAAGTGGCCCAATTTGAATTGATTGGGCCGAATGTAAAAGCAAGAGCCTAACTTAACCAACCAGCAACCCTTCTAATTAATTACAGAGGCCTAAAGGAGGGAAAATAATTAAGTAAAATAAATAAAGACGAAAAAGGTGAACCGTCAAACATTTCATTTCAATATCAGCGCTCACTTCTAAGGTAACCCATCCTTTTAACTTTAATTTTTACCTATAAATAACCCACTCTCACCGTGGATTCTTCTCTCACATTTGAATTCCACCAACAAATTTATATAATTTCTCTTTTTTAAATTAGGAAGTGCTTCTTTACACCTCCACCACAGTCCTCATCAACAAAGATGTCGGACTCAGAGCGCATAGTCGCACCAAACCAGAGCTCAGCCATGGATGCCGAACCCCAAAACCAGCAGCCAGAAGACGCACCAGCTTATAAGCCACAGAAGCCCAGCCACGCCACCTCCTTCAGCATATGGCCGCCGACCCAGCGCACCCGCGACGCCGTGGTGAACCGCCTCATCGAGACTCTCTCCACGCCCTCCCCTCTCTCCAAGCGCTACGGCACCTTGTCCGCTGAAGAGGCCTCCGCCGCCGCCCGTCTCATCGAGGATGAAGCCTTCGCCGCCGCCGGTGGTTCCGCGGCGTCCGAGGAGGATGGGATTCAGATCCTGCAGGTCTACTCCAAGGAGATCAGCAAGCGTATGCTCGATACCGTCAAGTCCAGGACAGCCTCTGCTTCCGCTGCTCAAAACGGTGCGTCGGAGTCCGAGAACGCGGGCTCTGTTGAGGACCCCACCGCTGCTGCCCCCAGTGAGGATGTCAAGACCGAACCCTAGTGATCTCCTTGTGTGTTTTAGGGCACTTTTAGCTTCAAATTTAGGGCTTCCATTTCGAGATCTATTTCGTATTAGTTATGGATTTCTTGTGATGCCCTTATACTATTATGACTTGCTAAATATTTATATGCTTAGGTATTATCGCAATGCGCTTCTGTTTTCTGTGGTTTATATCATGTGGGTTTCTGTTGAGTATTGATCTACTGGTTTTTGATCTGCTTTGTTCGGAGATGTTTGTGCTGGAAATGTTTATAATGAAGTGGATGCATTTTGAATTTGGAAAACATTAAAATCTTTCCTTTTGCATACTCTTCATGTTTTATTGATATTTTTTTTTCTAGCTGGTTTGTGTTTCATTTCAGCTTCAATACTAGCTGAATTCCAATGTCTGAATTGAATATTTGCTTAAATTTCTTGTGCATAATGTTGCTTCTTGGAGCTTGACATTGCCCTTTAAATAGTGAGGGGTGTTTCCTGCAGCTCGTTTTTCATCACACCATGCCCCTTTGGCCTGGTCCTTTGTGTGCTCCTACAATGTGCAGGATTTAATTTTTCTATAAGTTTTTTTTCTTGTCAAATTTAAGCTTTCGGTGAAAGTGAGATTGGCTGATGTTGCTCAGAGCTCTGTTGTAGTTCAAGCATGTTAAAACCTAAAAGTAGTCTGCTTTCCATCTATCATGATATGCATATCCACTTTTTCTTGTTTTCACCTTATGTTGCATCAGTAGTGGATAATCATGAAAATAAAGGTGACTTACTTTTTGGTGTAAGCATTATATAGTTCTTGGTATTCTACAGCATAAATTCTACCTCCTTGAGGTAGACTATGATGCGATTTAGAGTATTTTTGTTGTAGAATGGCTGAGTGTAGGGAAGATTAGTGTCTGCTGCACCACAACTATTCACAAGTTCCATTCACTCGCACCGTGGACAAATTGGTTGATGTTTATAGCAGATGTCTCATTTGTCATTAAGCAGTTTTTACCTCTCTGGTTCTCTGTGGCTGTTGTGGCACTGACAAGTTTGATGTCCATGGTTTTTGGTGATATGAACATAATCAGAGTCTTGCTTTTGGATTGTTGTTAGATTATTATGAAGAAGTGATGAAATATAAATGATTTCTTAGTGTATGTTATCTTTGGACCCAGCTCCAGTTTGTCCAGCAAACTAATATCATGCTTAGTTTTCTCTTTTAGCTGGAAGTAGTTGCGCGTTTTATGTTAGTTTTCATTATTTCTTGGTAGTACAGTGGTTGTGGTTGTGCATGCTATCATTCTGCGTTTTTGGCATGTGGGGAGATTAAGACGCTCCTAATGATGTGTTCAGTGGTTGTCCCCTTCCTAATTCATCAGTCTCTGTTGCTTGTTATCTGCTTCACCAGGTAGAAACAAATACATTCTCTGTAGACGAATTATAGAAACAGGAACATTGGTTTTTTAATTTTGGGGGGGCCTTAAACTGGGCTTGTTGGGCCGGCCCTTGGAATTTATTGAAGAGCCGTTGGTGACTTGGAATCCTTTGCCTTTAACACGTGCTTTAGGGCTATAGATTGTGCGTACATAACGCTCCCCTTCATGTTTTGGGTTCAGGTCTGGAAATTAAGGCTATGTTTGGTAGGCCTCACTGGACTGAACTGGATTAAATAGCACTTGAAACCTATATTTGGTAAGAGAGGAGACTATACAGTTCAACAGTGAAAAAAATGGCTCATTCGCTCCTCTAATATAATGAGCCTGAAACGTAGTTCGCACCATCGCTAAACTGAAGAAGCGAGTTCGACACACACTGGCCTAGCTTCTCTTCCCTGACGCCATTCATCACTCTTTCTCTTCCTGAAACTTCTCTACCTCAACAAAATTGAGGTTGAAAAACTGAAGCTCCAAGATCTGATTGGACCCAACAGTAAAAGAAAAGAACTTATTTTTGGAATTTCTTCTGACCAAACTCTGGAAACCCATCTCCTCAAACCCATCGTCTTCCACTGCACTGCCCCCAACCCCAGCAACATCAATGGCTCCCTCTCAATTCTCTACCCCTCTCTTTGCAAATTCAAAAACCCAAATATTCTTTTCCATCTCCAGAAGAAAGGTCCCATGGATGTTAAATCATTCTCCAGAAACCTCTCTTTGAATGTTTATTAAAAAAAACCGAATATGTGCTTAAACTTAGTATGTATGCTTTGAGTATCTGTTTTAAAGAATTTCTGAAGGATTCGTATGTGTGCTTAAACTATACTATATCTGTCTTGTTATAATTTGTAATAATTATCTCTGATATATATACTTTTTTTGGGGGGGGTGAAATGTACTTTTTTTTTTTGGGTGCATGAAAATGTCGGAAAATATTTGTTTTCATTCTAATCTCATGAAATAAGAAAATGCAAATCTTAATAAGGAGACAGAGTTGTTCATCGAATTAGAAATTAAATGAAAATAAATAAAAAATCATTTATTTATTTCATTAAAATTAAATTAAATGAACTTAATTATTGATGAAAAATCATTCCATCAAATATAGTTCGTTATTAATAACACCTGTCACGTCACTATTCCACGCTGGATCCGCAACAGTGCAAATATTTTTTGGGTTGGGCCTTCCTTTAGTTTTATATATAGCTTACTTATTCAGCGTAAAGGAAAAAATGAAATAAAAAATACAAATTTATAAATAAACCCAATCCTAGACATGTATTTATAAAAAAACCCAAGCACTATTTAAACATAGAAACACACCCAAAATTAACCCCAAAGTCAACTTTTTGGGTGTGTTTATAAATGGGTTTTGAGTGTGTGTAATGATGGGTTTTGGGTGTGTTTATAAAGTGTTTTGGGTGTTGGGTTTTTTTATAATTTCAACCTCCATTTTGGGTGTTTTAGTGAAACCCCCAATAAAAAATGAGCGTCAAACTTGGAACGCTTGTCGTTTATCTCGCTCGTAGGTAGGACCGTGTGGGGTGGTTGGTGGTGTTACATTGATATATTTTCACCGCGCCTTTGATTCTTTCAGCAATTTTTGGGAGAGATAGGATTTGTTGGTGGCTTCTTGAAAATTCAACTTTGGTGACTCTAAAATTTTTTCTATTCGCACCAATTAAAAGCCAACAACATTAGCAATTGGGAAATTTTTATTTTATTTCTTTATTTTTGCCCCTAATTTTCTGCACTGAAATGAAGTAAAATTTGAGAGATTCATAAACTAAATGATTTATTAGTCTCTAAAGTTGGAGAGCTTGAACTAACAACAAAACATAATCTGTTGTCCAAATTGTCTAATTGTATCAACCAACTAAAGCCTGAAAAATTACATGTACGTATGAAAGAAAATCCTTAGGCGGATCAAAAACAATATCCAATATGTCACATCTTTGTGCGTCATGAACATGGAAAATAATTCAACAAGAACAAAAGAATGAGAGAGATGTAGGCTGCAATTAGGCTAATGGCCAGGGCCTTTTTTGCTAGGTCCAGAGGCCAATCTAAGCGCCAAGCTCCTCACCGAAGGACGACGAGCAGTGCTCGAGTTGTAGTTAGAAGAAACAGCAAAGCTAGCCATGCCTACCTCCTCAGCCCCATCAACTCCTTTGCATCCGCCATCACTGCCGCTGTCGCTTGTTGCTGATCGAAGGGCTCTGCAATCAACTTGGCCAAACTCTGTTGACACAATCAGCAGCACCATCAACCCCATCACAAGCCACACGCAACTGGTTGATGCTGTTGAGCTCTTCTTCATTCTCACTGCCATCTTTACTTCACAGCTAGCACACAAATCTTTCTCTTGAGAGTTTTCTGATTGGTTTTTTTTTCTGTGTTCTGAAAACAAGGCCAACCCACTTGTATATATACGCGAGGATTTGAGCTGCTGATGACGGTGTGGCTTAGCTATTAATGTAGTGGGGTCAATCAAAAGATGTTTGACTTTCCCTTTTTTTTTAAAAATAATTTTATTTTCGTTATAGTTTACTTGTACAATGAAGTGGGGAGCAAGGCGAGAAGCCTGGGGGAAGGAGGGAGGTGTGCTTTTACTTTGAAATTGTTTCGTGCTGTTGGAATTTGACTTTAATTGCCAAACCCAAATACGTCTCAAGTCACCAAGAAAAAGCAAGAGAAAGGTTTTTTCTGTCTGCAAAATCCGAACTACTGTCATGAGCATCACCTTTTTGCATGGAAACACACCGTATGTGATCCAAAACGCGTGCGTCTTGTTCCATCTGTACGCGGCACTCTCTTTATTCTATATATATTTTCTTTCATGGAGGAAAAGAAGAAATGAGTGACAGCCAATTGTTAGAGGGACAATTAAAGGCAGTGTTTTTGTAGACATGGCAAACCAAAAAAAAACACATTTTGTTTGTTAAACCGTCTCTCTCTCTCTCTCAAGTACAGGACGGTGGAGGTGAGAAGAGGGAACATAGATTTTCAAGATTAAGGGTAGGTGCTTAAATTAGTCCAAAGGGGTAGCCAAGGGGAGGGAGGAGGCATTAGGGATGTGCAAGAATTTCAACGATCCCTTTTTTTTCTTCTTTTCAAGATCACATGGTCTTTTGAGTGTGTGGAAGACCACTAGGGCATTTTCTTGCTTTGCTTTGCTCCTATTTTACAGGTAAGTAAGAATGAGGAGTTGGTATGAAACCGTGATCCCATTTTTTCTAGCTTTCAGCATGCATATATAGCAAGCAAGTTGGACATTTTGATTTCCCAACCGATTCCACTAGACATGTGCTTAGGTGTCACTAGACATGTTTGGTGGCCATCTAGTGTCAAAATTTGGCAATAAAACCATGACAAATTTGGCAAAATCCTACTCGTGACTCGTGAGTCATGATATGGTGGACTTTTAAGTCCTAAAATATAGGGAAATAGTCACTTTGGTCCCTGCAATTTTAATTTTGTCAATTTAACCCTTGTAGTTTGATTCTGTTACAACACATCCAAATTTTCATCCAATTCCATTCAAAATACTTCCATACATAAGAGACGCGTGTTTATACCATCAAGAAATTGGATGAAAATTTGGACATATCCTTAAATTGCAATAAAATCAAACTACACATGTCAAATTACCAGAATAAAAACTACATGAATTCAAGTAGAAATTTCGTCAAACTACAACATATTTTGCCTAAAATATATTGTTGCTTGCAAGTGAGTGTGAATGGATTGTGTTGTGTATCATATGTCTCATAAAACAATGACTTTGTAGAGGTCTCATAGGAATAAATATACGTATTCAAATGATCAACATGTTAAAATACGAGGCTCGTGAACTTTGATCCTCAATTAATGGTCCAAACATCCAATATGTGATACATGTCAAGCAAGGAAGGCGACCGCAATTGAGGACCATCATCCGGCAACAGCCGCCGACAATGGCTTTTGCTTGCAAAGTTTGACATGTTATATATGGATTATTTCATGGTGTGCTGCTGCTGCTGCTGCCACCGCCTCCTCCTCCTATATATCATATATATTCACGGGTTCAGATACAATACACTTGTCAACTGAGATTTTCCGCCAAAGCATCTGAATTAAAACAAAATTTATGAAATCTTACTCTTATAGATTTCTTTCTGACAGATATATATATATATATATATATATTCCTTATTGGTTTTATACTGTGAACCAAGAATGTTTACATGCTATATAAATATAGGGAGAAAACCAAACATATGATTATGAAACCTTAATTAGTTTAGTCTTAGGACAAAAATTGGTGAGATTCTTTATTATACTACAAGCAATAATATGATAACCACTGATTAGTTGGGTAATTATTAATTCCACATTCAGTTTAGGTTTATATATATAGTTTTTTTTCCACTCTGCAAGTCTGTGACCAAAACTAATTAGAAGGGAGACTTGCACCAACCCCCCAAAAAAAAAATTGAACTTGGGAAGTAATCACCTCAATGGCTTTCATTTGGGTTTGTTATTAGATTGGGTTGGAGAGAGAGAATGATATTATACAATAAAAAAATAGATCATGTTGCACAAGAGTCCAAGAGTGTGTATATATATATTTAATTTTCCAATTCCCATAAAATAGGTTGTGCATGTCCCTTTGTTACATCTCCTATATATACTTGAACAATGTGTTGCAGCTCATTCACAAACACCCAAAACATCAAACCAAACTCAAAATGAAGAAGCACCATGGCTTCATCAAAGTCCTTGCAGTGAACTCCATCTCTGCAGTCATCTTTCTCCTCCTCCTCCTCTCATCTGCTGTGGAAGTTGAAGGCTCCAGGCCTCTTGTGCATAAGCTCTCTTCTAATTCTAATTCAATCAGCAAGTTTCAGATTGTTCAGGCATATTCTGGTCCCAGTAGAAGAGGGGTTGGCCATGCTCTTATGCATCTTAATCTTTCACCTGCTCCGATCAAGATATCTGAAGCATATTCTGGTCCTGATAAAGGTGGGGATGGCCACTAGATCAGATTCATCACCATGTTCATCTTCTTTCTCCAAGCAGCCCAGCATGCTTGTTCTTATAATCCTATCAGTCGTTTTGTGCTTTTCTATATTATTATTATTTTCCTATTGTTTTGCTTAGAGACATATATCTCGCATTTGTTTGTGCAGAAGTGCATTGTTTACTGAAGCGAGATACACACAGATACCATAATTAATTTAGTTTTTTTTTCTTTTCCCAAAGTTAAGAGGTGGTGGGATATTCTCACACGCTATCGGTGTCAAGTTGTCAAGATTCAAATCTTAAACCACTCATTTGCAAGTCAATTTTCTTTTTCACTGAACTAGACCCGTTCCCCAATTAATTTAGTTTATATATATGCTGTTGGGATGGCAAACATTATGTTATGTAGTGCATGGTCCATGTTCAAATTAAATTAAAGTTTCGCTCTCAAGTTTTGAGGGGGGACATGGAGTGGTGGTTGTATCCGGGAAACAAGAAATGTGATGGCCAAAGTAGGTTGTAATTGATGGAAATTAAGCAAACAAACAAAAACAGAGTTGGAAATACGAAATCCACCACTTCAGTTTATTTTAGTATAAAAATACTCCAATTGTTGATCATGTTTTGCAACTTAGCGGGTTATGAAGAGCCAATGTTTCCTTTGTTTTTTTAATCATTTTCAAATATTAGCACACACATACAATATTATATTATACAATAATGTATATTAATTATTGTAATTTTGACTAGTTTACAATTTGAAGGTCAACCACTTACCCAAATTTTAAGCATTTGGGTTGGGTCATGTAGCGACCCAAATTTGGGCTGGACTTGAAGAAAACCATAGAACGTGTGCTGTATTTAATGAAATTGGGTTGGACTTGTAGTTGCGCCCATTGTGTCGTCAGCTATGACCAATGAGGAGGCTGTTCACTATTGTGTCAGTGCTTTGTGGTGCAGCTGCCGGAAAAAATCATTAAATAAAAATTCATGGAAGATGGTAAAACAATAATATGACCACATACTTGAAGCTAAGTGCTTCCCTTGGTTTAATGCAAATATAGGCTTAGTTAAGTCGGCTAGAGCAGAAGTAATCTCTATTATGCATTCAAATTCGAATCATCTATGAGCATGTTTACGTATCAGTAATGGAGAAACTAAGGAATCAGAGAATTTAGGAATCGGAGAACTACTGAATCGGTATGGGAAGAATCATTCTCATTAAGCTGTTTACTAAACATATGAAATTAGCAATGGAATGGGATTGATTCCCATTGTTATTGTTTACTAATTTGCATGAATCAGAATCCAAATTAATTTTAGAATTATGGTAAAGTGATAAGAGTATTTTTGGAAGTTATTAAGAGAAAACAGGAATGGGAATCGTATCGACTACTCCCCCCTAGTTGATATGATTCCTAGTTTTGAGGGAATGTGATTACGGATTTTGAGGTGGGACCCACTTATTTTTTCATTCCTGATTGCAAGTAAATGCATGAGAATTCAGGAATGGAAATCATTCCCTTTCCTCTCATTCTCATTACTGATACGTAAACATGCCCTATATGTAATTTAGATAAAATTTAAGTAGAATATCAATTAATTATTGATTTTTTTTTCTGTTGACTTTTTCATTTCGTTAAAACATTTTAGGCCAATTGTGGAAAAGTTTAATTATTTTAGTGATGGAAGGAAGATAATCAACTTACATTTACTAAATTAAATCTGATAGAGACCAAAATTAAATTTAAGAATAATAATAAGAGAAGGAAACCGGATATTTATCCGGTTGACCTGAGGAAGAAAGTTGGGTGGTGCCAAAAACGTCAATTTCATTTGGCGATTGGCAACAAAATATTGCTCGGAATCTTACATACAAAACAACAAAATGGTTTGGATTTGGATTTGGATTAGGATGGATAGCTTCAAAAAGATGAAGAAGAGAACGTGGTTTTAGTGCCAACCACAGAAGTTTGTTTAACCACTTCTTCCCCCTCTTTTTTTTCCATTTGTTGTTTTCTCTGCCTTTTTCCACAAACCAACGCTCTTTTCGCTTATTCAACCAAGCTAAATGACCACCCAATAAAACAAAACAAAACAAAAATGTCATGGTATTATTGTCACATACGATTTAATTATAGCGTCATTAATAATTGTTCGGTGTGACAATTATAACGTCAATTCGGTCATATTATAACATATATATATTTATATATTAATACTATATTATAAGTTGATCACATATTAACGTAATTATCTACCTACTTTTAATGGTAAATTATTAACATCATTTGAGGTGTGACACACTAACATTTTTCCAGACTGAGAAAGAAAAAAAGCAAAGATGCCATCTACTAATCAGCCACTGATGTAAGACATAAGAAGTAACCACCGAAATATATAATATTATTTACACAGTTAAACAAATAATTTATGGTTTGATAAAAAAACAGAGGATATTCTATCGTTGTTAGCGCATGAAACAAATTAAGCAGGTAAAACAGAAAGAAAAGGGAAAAGGGTAAGAAGCGCAAGTGTACAGCAGCAGCAGCAGCAGAGCAAGCAGAGGATATATTCGTCAAAACAGAGACACAAACCAAAGCGCATTCATTTCAGAAATTGTCGTCTTCGAAAACGCACCAAAAACAGGTCCCCACCACTCCCCATAACCCCTCCTCCTCCTTTCTATAACCACCCCCACCCCCACCTCCCTCCCTCCCTATTATTATCAGTTATTTCCACATCCCAGATTATAGAATTTCGGCTTTTCAATTCTTAACTGCCCTCAAATCCTCTCCAAATTACTCTGAACCACCCCAAAAGCCGGAACGCAGAGTAGGATCTTCGATCCATTCTGTTCTAATCGATCGATGAAACGCGCATCATCGGGGGACGATTCGATGGCGGCGACCTCAGCTGATGTGAAGATGAAGAAGATGAAGGTTGAGGGTGAAGAAGAAGAGGTGGAGGTTGACCAGATTGACCAGGTTGTGGAAGGGGCTGGGTTTGTGAATCTGGACGACAATCTCATATTCGAGGTGTTTAAGCACGTGGACGCTAGGACGCTGGGGATGGCGTCGTGCGTGAACAAGCAGTGGCACAAGACGGCGCAGGACGAGCGGCTTTGGGAGCTCATCTGCACCAGGCACTGGGCCAACATCGGCTGCGGCAACCAGCAGCTGAGATCTGTGGTCCTCGCTCTCGGCGGCTTTCGTCGGCTTCACTCCCACTTTATCTGGCCTCTCAGCAAGCCCTCCTCCAGCTCTTCTTCGTCCTCATCGTCGTCGGCTTCGCCTTGGGCATCTCCGTTGAAGCCCATGCTCGGCTCGAAGCCTAGCGCTCGTTGGGGAAAAGACGAGGTGAATCTATCACTCTCGCTTCTCTCGATTCGTTTTTACGAGAAGATGAATTATGCTAACAGAGGCAGATGATCAGAGATTCAGAAATTAAACTCGGAAATAAAATTATATAAAAAATATCTATATATAATTTCCTAATTTCAGTTGGATTTTCAATTTTCCCTAATTTTTTGGGATTTATTTTTGTGTTTTTTCGTTATTGGATCTGTATTCTTGTGGACTTGTAAGCTTAAGGTTTTCTTGTGTAAATTAAGATGGAATTTGCTCAAGTTGTGTACTATAATTTTATCAATTTTACAATTATAATTGGTTTGCTAATATTTATTTTCATGGATTTATTTGGATTGATTGAAAACCGTGTTGGGGGGTTTGGCGGTGGTTGTTGTGATTGGCGGTTCTAGCGATTCGTTTGGCGAATACGAACAAACATAATAGAAGCAAAAATAAATGGCTGGTTCTGGTTGTGGCCTTTTGCTTTCTGGGTCTTTTGCCACGTTCTAATGGGGGTGTAAATAGCAAAGAGACAGAAGAATGAGTCTTTTTAGAGGTTAGATCCAAAGTTGAAAGAGTCCCTGGAGGAGGACGAAGGACCAAATTGTCGTTTTTGTAGTCTTCATTTTCTTGGAGAATTGGATAGCTCTATATAAGTATAGCTCTGCCAGCCTGCCACAATCACCCCTTGACTTTAGTGTAAATTGCTTTTGGTTTCTTCTGCCCAGTTTACCATGTCTCCTCTTGGATGCCATTTCCATTTTCTTTCGACTATTCCAAGTTCAAACCAAATAGAAAATACTTAACTCATACGTGGTAATCTGTGATTCGCAATAGTAGTGTGACATATGTGTCAATCTGTGATTTGCAAGGATGAATGATTTCCTTGAAGAAGGAGCGTTTCTTTTAGGGAAAGAGGCAAACAGTATCCCATGACATTTCCAATTTGAAATAATTAAAACGAACCCGAGAAAAATGTTGAAGTGAAGGTTGGTTTTCATATTTGTAGCTTCAATTAAAGTCAAGTTCATGGGCACATGGATAAAGACCTAATATCAACTGTGAAAGCTCTGTTTGCAGAATAAAAGAACCTTGTACATACAGACTTGTATACTTCTATTCTACATGGACACTTGTTGCATGAAAACTTGTACAGTATGTATATATCTTTACTTCACCCGTGAAGGGTAATTTAGAAAGAATCTATGTAGTTTTTTTATATTATATGCTGAGGTTTGGACGGACGTCGTTGACAGTGAGCAAAAAGGCTGAAGCTTGCGACAAAGAAACAGAGAATGGCCAAGTAAGTTAGATATATTCTTGGTGAACTCACTGTTTAGTCTCTTTGTGCCGTCCCTCCCTCCCTCTGCTTAAAGCCCTTTTCTTCCTTTTTTTTTGGTCGGTTAACTTCCGTCACGAATTTTGGTCTATCAAATTAGTTTTGTCAGATTCTCTTCTTCCTTTTGTTTTCCTTGGCATTTGGTCTTCGGGTTGGCAAGACAATCCTATCAAATGAACTTTCCCATTTGGACCAAGAATTTCCAGACCTTCATTTTCATTCCATGCTTATAATGACTTACTGACTGCTCTGAACCACCAATGTGCTAATTTCAAAAGCGTAGGCTTATGAAGACTTGCCACCACCAAACTCATGTGCCAACGTTTCAACTCACATACGTTTTTTCTAACTTCCCACGTTTCCTTAGTTTCTAGTTCCCTCCACAGAAACCTAAAATCCGTCCAATTTGTCACTGACCACTGTATTTCACCAAAGAAGAAAAGCCACGAATTTGCCTCACAACATATAACTTTGGTCAGTCAAATTCATTTTTGTGATGATTTTGGGATGCTTTCAACTTATGGCATGAAAATTTGACCCGTCATTTTCTTCCAGTCTTATTGTAGAAAAGGCAGTGGGGGACTTTAGCTGATCAACGGGTCGGACCAAACTAGAAATCAACCGCTTAAGCCCCGCCTATCGGATGTTTGGTGACTATAATTGAACTGATAAACTCACTATATTTAAGTCATGTTGTGTGGGGAAATGGAGGAATGTTGTCCAAGTTGGAAGGTAGAAGAGGGATCACTCATGAAGGAAACTTATTCCAAGCAATTCTCTCCAAATGGTAGTATAACAACACATTATAAGTTATCCTTTATAAATCTCCTCAAAATGAAAAATACTTAACATCTACCTTCATTTTTTTTTTTCAACATAGCATAAATTTGGTGAATTATCTACGTAACCACATTGGACTTAAATGCAAAACCATCAATGTATTTCACTCATCAGGCTAATCTAGGGGAGCATTTTTGCTCATTACTTTAACTCAAGGTGTATAGCCTCACCACCCACCTAAAAAATTGACACATGTCTATAAGTCTAACTATAGTTAACCTTTTGTTTTTAATTTTCTTCTGACATCATTATGAGAGAGAAAAACATAACTACGCTTTAAAACATAATTATTAAAAAATAAAAAATAAACCCATACAGTCACCACGCACCACCACCCACCAAACCAACCTGTTCAGCCACCCCACCCCCACCGGTGGCAACCCCCTTTCCTTCTTGCCGCCGGAAACCCCCTTTCCTCTCATTGATGTCATATAGGACCTCCACGACGGTCTCGGCAAAGGTTGGCCGTTGATGACTGCTTCTTGGGATCTTCAAACCCTTCATGGCTTCGGTGATTTTCTGGATACTCTTTAGAATCAATTCGGACTCGGAGTTCAACCAAACCGCAATGCATAGTTGAGGTTGGTAAAGATTGAGAATGGAGACTTGGGCGTGAGATTTGGGGCAAAAGGGTTTTAGGATTTTGGAGAGAGAAAATGGAGGTTTTGCAGAGACCCACATGATTGTATTGGACAAAGCCATTGGCTTTTGTTGGGTTTTGCAGAGATTAAGCAAATTCAAATCTCTACAAAATACCTAATTGGTTAGTGGCTGGTTGAACCTTTATTAAAGCATCAAAATTGAAAATTTCTTTTGGTAATTGGGTCTCTGTGAACCCATTCTGTTGGTGGATGTTTGCTCCATAATCAGGAGGTAATTTGATTGAGGTTACCTGGAGATAGAGGGTAGAGCTGAGCATAAGTTTTGGATTCGCCAGAGTTAACGTAGAGAGAAAATCATTGAATACTTATAAAATGAGGTGTTTCTAGCGGCGAGGAGAGGGTGTTGTCGCCGGTGGGGGGGTGGCTGGGTGGTGTTGGGTTTTTGTTTTTTTTGTTTTTAATAATTAGTTTTTTATTTTTAATTTTATTAAAAGAACTAATTAAGTTTTTCTCTTTCATAATAATGTATAAAAAAATACAAAACAAAAGGTTAACTATAGTTAGATTTATAGACACGTGTCAAGTTTTTAGAAGGGTGGTGAGGCAACACCTTTGATTAAAGTAGTGAGCAAAAATACTTTCCTCATCTAGTACTTATATTACTAATTTGACTTTCTTTTGGAGAATATTAATTTGACTAATTTAGTTCACATTTTTGTATCTGTTTCTTACTGTAAAAGAAATTGACCACATTGACTAACGAATACCAACATAGGAAATAAACCGGCAAAACAAAACTCTAGTCATTACAACTCCTTAAAGAATATGATTGGAGTAGAAATTTTATAAACAATTAGAAAATAACTTTCTAGTATTTTCAGTTAAAATTTAACTTGAAAATAAAAAAGCACGATAAAACTAAGAGTAATGCTACATTTACCACATTTTTATCCCACATACCACATGATGTGATATGTTCATATTATATGCCACATCAATTAAATCAATGAAGTGATTTTAATTAAGACAATTAGAAAAACAAATACTGGAATAAATCATAAAAATATATATATATTAAATAATTTTAATTGATGTGGTTGTTCACCTCAACTGTCACATGAAATGGTATAAAAATGTGGTATACAAATTAGCCGTATAAGTAGACCGGATAGACTCTTTTTGACATTTAAGCCGAAACATTACACAGTTATACTGGCTTGGGCCAGGCCACACAAGCTAGGTCCAGACTTGAAAACATAAAGTCTTGTAAATACAACTGATTTTGGACCGTCGACCCTTTACAGTGTTTTTTAATCTTTTCAATCTTACGCAGGCAGTTTACGGAGGCCACATATTCACACCATGGGTGGACGGATTCAAAAGGCAAAAGGGATAATTCTCTAACATATACACAGATTAATAATATTAAGTAAATAGTGACAGCATTTTTTCTTGTTTGTCACACAAAATTAAATATTCTACACCCACGTTCCTCCGAACTTAGACTACCTTACTGTATATGAGTCCATCCATTACGTCCTCAACTGAATCCCTTCAACCAACCCCCTCGTGTTTGAACAAACCCATGCACTTTCCCACTCATTTCTTCCCCCTGGCAGTCAAAATATGAATCTCTCATTCCCACCTCCTTGCCAGTACTATTTATACCTCACAAATCTCCACCATCTTACAAACCAACCCAAATCAGAAACACCAGAAGCTTAACCTGATCAAAGCATCCTTGATCAATTCACAATATATATTCATTCATCCAGACAGATGGCCATCAAAAGCTTCAAGCCAGCTCTCTGCTCCATCCTTGTTCTTCTCACTGTGAGCTCTAGGGTTTTGGTCATATCAGAAGCTCGTCCTCTTAAGCTGGGGAGTTCATGGAGCTCCATAGACAAGGAGATGGAGAGTGTGTTTGATGGGCTGTTCATTGACGCAGTGAAGAACGGAGGCCCAAGCTCCGGAGGAAAGGGTCATGCCTTCACTGATTCTGAAACCCTTGGAGGGAACAAGCACTCTGTGTATATTGGTGCAATGAAGAATGAAGGCCCGAGCTCCGGAGGAAATGGTCATGCCTTCACTGATTCTGAAACCCTTGGAGGGATCAAGCAATCTGGTCCAAGCTCTGGCGGCGGCGGAAACTAATAAAGTGCAGCAGTAGCCATTGCCACATACTCTTTGAGCTATTTATTCACTTTTGTAGTTGTTTAAAAGCATTTTGTCTTGTCTTAGTATAGAGGACTAGCTATAACCAGTTGCAGAGTTTTATTTAATTTAAATAAAATGTGTACTAGTACTGCTATATATATGCAGCAATGATGTAATCGTACATTCATGATAATATTATAAAAGTGCGTTTTTATTTTCTTTCATTCAAGGAGTAAAGTTTGCTGTGGTATTTTCAGATTGATTGTTTATGGAAACTTGATTCTTAGGAAGGAAATACATCCGAAGGTACCTAAACTGTTTCATTTAGGGTTTCAGAGCTTTTGGCAGTCAAAAGGAGACCAGACTTTCCCTTGTCATTTAATTTGGGTGGACAGTGCAATTGAGATGAAGTAATTATAAAGACTGTGAAGATGGGATGCACTTAGAAAAGTCATTAAGCCGTCATGAATCGATCAGATATCACTAGCCCATTTAAAACATTATTAGTTTTAATCAAACAATGTGGAACCTATCCTGCAATTGGCACTAGTAAAATATCCATTAGTATATTGTATTAGAGTCGGGCAATTACGTGTTAGAATGTGATGACAGAAATGACCGAGTATCCGTTGCTCATTTCTTCAGTCATTATGTGTTGGTGATAATGTAGTTCATCTATCGTAATGTCACTTGAATTGAGTACATATTTTGGGTAGGTTTCAAATTTTCCTTTCAAAAGTCATGGCTTTGGAAGGGGGAGTTAACATAGACTTTCCCTTTGTGTGAGTCATATACCTATGTGATTTAATGACTAAATTCGATGAACCGTTTCACTATGCTGTGATTCACGCTTCAAGTAACTTTGAACCAATAACCACCTTCCTCATGTTCTGTATTTTATGGGTCAAGAACCACCTTCCTCGTGTTCATGATGACATTTGGAATATGGTTCAAGTTTTCGGTCAAAGGTGTAATTTTTGGTTGGGTCCAGAACTTCAAACCCAAACCAAATCCAGTGTAAGCCCAAAATTAGAAAGCCCAAAGTTTACCGAGAAGTTATTGCTTACGCTCCCGCCTTCAGGCGACATGGCTTTTTATTTATTTACCCGTTGTGATATAAATCTTAGACACGACGTCGTTTTTAGTTTAAACCGGAGCGCACAACCGATCAAGGACAAGCAAACAGTAAAACCCCATCCACCGGGGGTGTTCTCGTCCTCGTGCATCCGTAACTATAAATAAAGTAGAAGCAAACTCCGATGGAGAAGAACCGCCATAACTAAAAAGCCTCAGACTAGTTCTCAAGCAAACAGCAATCGAACTTTCTGGAGAGTTCATGTTAATTAATGTCAATCAATTTACTAATTAATCATTAAGCAGAAGCAACAGAGCACCCAAAACCAAAATGAGAGGCTCCAAGACTGTCGTTAGCGATACTGACTCGTCCGCCACCCAGTCTGACAGCTCCGCCACCAAGACCGATTCTGACATGATCGACGGTGAAGACGAAGAAGTTTCAGCTCCTTCCCTCGATTCATGCCCCTTCTCCGAAGGCGAGAAGGTGCTCGCTTTTCATGAGACCCAAATTTACGAAGCCAAGGTACTCATTTTCAGACACGCACTCTCCCTTCCACCCTCTCTCTCTCTCTCTCTCTCTCTCTCTCTCTCTCTCTCTGCGATTGAATTCTATATGATTCTTAGGGTTAATTGCAATTTCTCGAATTTAATAGAGCGTTTTGGCTAATTGATCACGGATGAACATTTTCAGTAAATCTCACTGTGCTTTGCGTTTTGTTTGCAAGGTGACCAAAGTCGATTTCAAGATGAACGAATGGAGATTTTATGTTCATTACCTTGTAAGCATCAACTGCTTTCCTATGATTTTTTATTTTCTCTATCAAACATTTACTAAATGCCTATCATGATTATACCTGCCCTGTTTCATTTGTAAGCTTTAATTTTTAATTTTTAATTTGCTTGGAAGTGGAATGCTTTTAATTTTTAATTTGCTTGGAAGTGGAATGCTTTTAATTTTTAATTTGCTTGGAAGTGGAATGCTCTTGGATTTCCATTAATCTTCCTTCGGCATTTCCTCCATTTTGGGGTTACATTGCTTGGGTGATATAGTTACTCGTTTTGTGGTTACATCTTGATTGTATACTCTTCTATCCTGCAGGGATGGAGCAAAAAGTGAGCCCGCCTTCCTGCTTACTTATGATTCCAGAACGTTTACGAGTTTTGATTTCACATTCCTTGAACCAGGCTCTTGGATGTTGGAAGCATGGTCTACTTCAATTTTCGTTCTTGTTATTTTTTATTATCGTTTTCCATTTTAAGGGGTCTTTTCATCTCACTTATTGCACCGTATTGCATTTTCCTTTTTGTCTTTGAAAAATATGTTTATTAGACCATGGCAGATATTAGTATTAGATCATTGCATTGAGGGAGGTTGGAAGGTTCATGGAAGATGAAGACTTTGATTAAGTTTCTCCCATTCATTCATGGGTTATTCATGCAGTTACAATCTCTTGAAACTTTTGATTTCATTTTATTTTTTTGACTTTTTCTCCCTATTGCTGTCCTCAACAGTTGGGATGAGTGGGTGCACTTGGATCGTCTGATGAAAAACACTGATGAGAATGTGAGGAAACAAAAGCAGCTCAATGCGAACCAGAGAACACACAAAAATGCAAAGCTAACACGCACGTCACAGACTAAACAAAAAGGTTATTATGGTTGGCTTTATCATCTTTAACCTTTACCTTTCTGTTTCCCGATTTTGAAAGTTATAGATTTATTCTTTCCATGCAAGTATGGAACGTATTACAATATTTGTAGTGTCTTAAAAACGAAAAGATAGATGTAGTGCAGAACTTGTATTTGTTTTTTCTTTATTCATTAGTTTTGAATGAAGAACAGAAATGTTTGGCCTAACAAAGCAGAACTTTTGGCATGTGACCTGAACCTTCCTATTTTTTGGTGAGCTTTGAGGTTTAAGGACCATAAGTGTTGCCCTTTGAAGAGGTTTAAGGACCATAAGTGTTGCCCTTTGAAGAGGTGGAAAGAAAGAAGTGGTAGGAGTAAGTATAATGGTTATGAGAAACTGCAAAAGTAACAACGTGGTTAACAAATTTGTTCTCTGGAGAAAAGAAGTCTTAATAGGCCACTACCTCATGAAAAGATTTAACAGCATGCTTTCTTCAGTCATGATCATAAATTGGTTATGGTTCTTGAATTAGGATGATAAGAGGTTGGGTTTTGAATATATATATATATATATATTTTTTTTTTTATATCAACGTCCCTTGCAAGATGAATGTGTATATAATATGCGTTGCTCTTACTTTTGATATGAAATTATGTGCAGTCTCAAGAGGAAAAAAGCGAAAGAATGACTCTGTCATTAAGGTATGCTCTGTAATCCGTAGTTTGCCTATCTAGGCTTACCTCTTCCAGATATTGTGTGATCACTATGAAGAGGTTTGTTATTTAATTTAGAAGTCAACATGAACCTTAAGTTGCAGGTTTTGATTTCTTCTTTTGTTGTCAAATTTTAGGACAAAGATGCCATACCCATGGAAGATCTTGTGCTTCAAATTCCGCTCACACTAAAGAAACAACTAGTTGATGATTGTGAATTCATTACTCATCTGGGCAAGGTAGATGTGTTCCTTTATCATAATACTGAATCCATGAATGAATTGATTAAATAACGTACTATGTAAATTACATGCTTGTGCTGATAATGGTACATCATAAAAACTTGGAATCTCATGTTCAGACCGCATTACAGAATGGTCAATGGCATTGTTTTAACTTTTGTTATTTGTTTGGTTATGGTGATGTAGAGAGTAAATATTTCATATGGAATTCTTACTAGGATGGATGAATTGCTTTTGGAATATTTGGTCTACATGACTTGAGCATTTACAGTAGGACTAGAGATGTTCTGGCATGTACTTGTCAAATGGTGGGTCTGGCATATCTGGGTTAGTCTTTGTGCACTCTAGTTGTCAGTATGTGCATATCACTTGTGAGTTTCTAATTCCGATGCATCCACTCATCGCATTTTTAATTTCCAAACAAACTCCTATATTCAGTCATAATGAATTCCCAGTTAATGATATCCACATATTCTTGCAGCTTGTTAAACTTCCACGAACTCCTAACGTGGATGACATAATGAAGAAGTATCTAGATTACAGATCAAAGGACAGTTTGTAAGTTTCTTTCCTTTCATCTCTTTGCATCCAATCTTCTTTTATTCTTTTCTTGGGTGCCATTTTACAAAATACATCCATTTTGAATTTTTTTTATTGAGAGAGTAAATTAACTTCTTATCCTCACAAGAGTGAAGAGATGGATGGGATTACCAATGTCACTTCTCCTACATTCTACTGGCTGGTTATCCACTGGGTGAAAGTTGGGGTCTTAACTCAATTATTTGGACCTACAACATTCATAACTTTCAACTTCTTTATTATCTAGAATCCAATTTGGATACAGGCACTGATTTTTATTGATGGACTATTCTTAATGTGAATCTAGGAAGAAAACTCATTCAGTTGAAGAAATCCTGAAAGGACTGTGTTGTTACTTTGACAAAGCACTACCAGTAATGCTTCTGTACAAAAATGAACGTCAGCAGTATGAGAAAGCAATTGCACATGATGCCTCTCCTTCATCTGTATATGGTGCTGAGCATCTGCTACGTCTATTCGGTAGGAACATATAATGCATAGCAAAGTCCATTATTTGTATTCATAATGGTGTATTTCTAAATAGAATTGTTAAAATAAAAGTGCTTTTCATCATTTTTGGTGTGATCTTGAATTTGTGGTTTCTCATGTTAATGTTCTACTAAATTACTGATGGAGATTACTTCTATGTTTAATAATTATGTTGAATTTGTAAATATCCCTTCCAATACATTAAAACCCTTGATTCCTTTCCTTCCTTAAGATGCATTTTTATATTGCCCTTGTGTAAATCATAAATTGTGTTTTTAAGTGATTATGTACTCGGTATTTGAAAGTAAAAAAAAATTATCCATGGTGGATTACCCGTGAAAATTGAATTTTCATTGCGATATACTTATCTATAGTGCAGCAGAACATTATGCTGGTGCTTTGGATACCTGGGCATGTGGTGGATGACATTTCAACGTCCATGTGAATGCCAAATGTTTTTGAAATTCATCATGCTGAATATTTTTTGGTTGCTTACTGCAGTTTTTGCAGTTTAAGCTTTTGTTATATTGAGTGCTAGTCATCATAAAGTTTGAACTTGAGATGTTATTTTTCTGGTATTTGCAGTTAAGCTCCCTGAGTTATTGTTGAATGCTAACATTGAAGAGGAGACACTGAAAGATTTGCAGCAAAAATTGGTCGACTTTCTCAAGTACTGTCTTCTACTTGCTCTCCTAAATAGATATTTGATTGTATATTTTCCAACACGTACCTGACTTTATTATTTTTCGATGTCATTTTTACTTTTGCTGATTGATCATACATGCTATCATGAAGGTTCCTACAGAAAAATCAGAATGCATTTTTCCTCTCTACCTATCATGTACCAGATGATGTTGAAGCGAGCACCAACAAACCAGATGTCTAACCGGGGGCATACTTGCAACAATTTGTACATAATACCATATAACTACAGCTGTTGTGCGATGTCTCAGCGCCGTTTTCAACTTCTGCGCTCCAAAAGCTGTTGAAGCCTAATCTGCTGGTGTTGCACGTATTACTATCCTCTATGTTCATGTAACTGGTATGTCAAACTTTAGAATATGTAACTTATGTAGTCAGAACATGCCTAATGCCTTGTAAAATTCTACCGGACACGGAATGTATCCTTTGTGCAATGATAGTTTTGCCTGCCTGTGGGCTGCGACACTATACTGATTTGTTCTCGATAAATTTTGGAACCGTATTGATCCATTTGGTTACGCAGAATTATTATTATTATTTTTTTGGGTTACATTGGAGGAAACCGAACCAGAACACATTGTACCCTCCCTTACCATTTGGGTAGGTTTTAATTTCAGGAGCTTCATTAATATACCCAAAATAGGAGCTGAAATTATAAAAAAAACCTCATATGGAATGCACTTTAGAAACACACCCAAAATTCATTTACTATATGAGAAATTGGTGTTGAAGTTTCTATAAATTACAGGACTGACCCAACTGAGGCCCAACAGAAAGAAAAAAAAAAAAAAAAACCAAACCCACAAACAAGCTAGCTCAATTTTATAAAAAAGCCCAAACAATTTTTTTTTGGTTACAAAAAAGTCCAAACATTTTATTACAACACAAAACTGTCTTGAAAACCGTAACTTCAAGCACGCATCTTCATTAAACCATCTCTGCAAAACGTCTCTTCATTTCACCGTCTTCATCATTTATGCAAACTGAAACTCCATAACTACCACCAAGTTTGATCTACTTTCAAAAACCAACACCGCACACTAACCTCCACCTACAAAACAAAGACAAAATTTAAGAGAACAATTTCAATAAGAAAAGGCTTCAAAGGTAAGACATTTAAAAACCAAACATTTATTATAATGTTGATTAATTGTTGTAAAGTTTCAGTCTATGGTAATAACAGTATTTTATATTCAAATCTAAGACAAAATCTTGAAACTATATTAGATTTTCACTATTGGACTAACTGCATATGACTATAAAATAGTCAGTTTTCAACAACTCAAAAAAGAAAGAGATATTTAGTCAAATACAGATTCTTAACACTGCTAGTTTATTGTCATGTTGATTAATGACTGTAAAGTTCCAGTATAAGGTAATAACACTGTTTGTTTCCTATGGAATCCTATTTCTAATGAATGTCGACCACTGTAAAGTTCCAGTCTAAGGTAATAATACTCCTAGTTTTCTATGAAATCTTATTTTTAATGCATATCTACCATTATGAAGTTTCAGTCTAGGGTAATAACAGTATTTTATATTCAAATCTAGGACAAAATCTTGAAACTATATTGGATTTTCATTATTGAACTCATTGCATAGGACTATAAAATGGTCGGCTTTCATCAACTAAAAAAAAGAAAGATATTTAGTCATATACCCATTATTAATACTGCTAGTTTACTTTCATGTTGATTAATGACTGTAAAGTTCCAGTATGGGATAATAACACTGATTGTTTACTCTGAAATCCTATTTCAAATGCATGTACCACCGTAAAGTTCCAGTATAAGGTAATAACATTGCTTGTTTCCAATGAAATCATATTTTGAATGCATGTCTACCACTATAAAGTTCCAGTATAGGGTAATAACACTGATTGATTCCTATGAAATCCTATTTCTAATGCATGTCTACTATTGTAAAGTTACAGTATAGGATAATAACACTCCTAGATTCTTCTAAAATCATATTTCTAATGCATGTCTACCCCTTGTAAAGTTCTAGTATAGGGTAATAACATTGTTAGATTCCTCTGAAATCCTATTTCTAATGCATGAATAACCCTTGTAAAGTTCTAGTATATGGTAATAACACTGCTAGATTCCTCTGAAATCCTATTTCTAATGCATGTCTATCCCTTGTAAAGTTTCAGTATAGGATAATAACACTGCTAGATTCCTCTGAAATCCTATTTCTAATGCATGTTTACCCCTTGTAAAGTTCCAGTTTAGGGTAATAACACTACTAGTTTCATATAAAATCTTATTTCTAATGCATGTCTACTACTGTAAAGTTCCAGTATAAGGTTGTTTTTTATGAAATCCTTTTTCTAATGCATGTCTGTAAAGTTCCAATATAAGGTAATAATATTGCTACCTAACAACAAATTATAGTCGACTCAAAAACCAATAGTGCATAAACAGAAAAAAAACACGAATATACTCAGATTCAATTGAAAAAACATACCTCAATTAATATGATAACCAAATCAAATATCACAAATTTGTAACCACAGCTCAAACCAAAACACAAAAGCAAATCCACAACCAAACCAAATATGAAATCAATCCAAATTATAAACAAAAAGAAATTAAAATCACAATTTAAAACTCAAACGAATATCTAAATACAAATTAGAACAAAATTAGAAAATCCAATAGCTTATCTCCAAATCGACAATAACAAAAATAAACATATAAAATCAAGAAGAATTGGATCTACATTTCAAATTTAAACTCCAAAACTGCAAAAATTATGAAAACTTAACCAGCAACTTAATTAATTGAACATGAAATCACCCAAATCAGACTACAATAAAATCGAATATGAATTCAAATTAAAAAAAATCAAATACCTCAAAATCGAAGATCGCATATCAAATAGGATTTTATACTGAGCCAAGTCACTAATGCACCATGAGCTATTTCATCCCCTAAATCCGCCAAGTCATTATCCATTTGCTCATGTTGTAAATCCTCCACATTTTTTCACAGATCCAGCATCTAATGGATTGCCAATGCCAATGCCTCTGACTTCAAATTTTGTCATGATATTTGGACTAACATTCTTGAAGGCAGAGCCTTCGTCAACTCCATCTTCCAAAGCATTACTGCTTGATGTTCCTTGAATTGAGATGGCTGCAAAGTTTTTACCCACGAGCTTGGAAAGGGGTCTCCTAGTTTTCCTATATCCAAAAGACGAATTAATTAGAATTAGAAGAAATAGTTACCTTACACAATCAGAATCCTATGACTTCATCATTCTTATTCTTTTTTTAGAGAGAGAGAGAGAGAGAGAGAGTTACTTGAGAACAGAGCTTAGGATTTCATTGTCAAAACTGAGGTGGAAGAACAAAAACTGAAAATTGGGGTTGAAGATGAAGATGAAGATGAGAGACTGGAGGTCGTGAGTTCTGATATGGTGTTTATTAGGAATTCCAATTTTATGTTAAAAGGGTAATAAAGGTATTTCATCTTAATAATTAAATTAAAAAATATACAGATGTTGATTTTTGGGTTTATTTTGGAAAAAGCAAAAGGAGAGAGAAAAATTTTAAAAGAAGCAAAAATGGACAAAAATGCCCTTATTTATTTTTAGATTTCCTAAGGAATCCAATACATTTGCATGTCTTTGATTTAAAAGTTGAGCGGTTTTTTTGTCTTTTTAGAAAAATCTTTGGCTTTTTCCAAAAGTGAAAATATTTTTATGTCTAAAACCTAAAAAACCTGTATTTTTATAGTTTTAACTTTTATGTCTAGAAATGAATATTTAACTAATTTTCTATTTAATTTCCTAGCAATCCTATGATAATTAAGGGCTGAAAATTGTTGACAAGCTTGATTTGGCTTCAGTATCGGGATAAATTATAGAATAGTACGGATATACCACGTCAGCATGTGATACTCCTATTTAAATATTGACATGTGTCCATTTTAAAACAAAAATTAATATATTTGTTTACTAGCTGGTACTATGAAATAAAACAATGAAATTGAAATTAAAATTAAAAAAAAAAAAAAAGAAAAAAAAAAAAAAAAAAAAAAAAAAACCAATCGCCGCCCCTCCCCTAAAACCCCACTGCGTTCCATGGGTGCCATCCCTCTCTCTTCTTCTTCCTCCCTGTCTCTTTTCCTCTTCACCATTGCCACCGGCATCCAAACCCTCATCTTCCTTAATTCCCCTTTCTTTGAAATTGATGATGACAACCTTTCCCATCATCATACTATTTCGAAACCCATATCCAATACTATAACTCCTTGGTGACAATTACTTCAATCAATACAATACAACAATTCTCTCAAGGGGTCTCTCCGTTTGCATTCACTCTAACATTTCCCAACCATTAACACAAACACCAATGCTTCCACAATTCCATTTCATCATCATAATCATCAATACTAGTTTTCTCTACCTCTCTTTAAACTACATTACCTACAATTACTATAAGGGTTGAAAAGGAAAAGGAAAAAGGAAGAGGAAGGGAGATGGGTGGCAGTCATGGCAGGTTGTGTGGAGATGGGTGGCAATCATGTCATGTTTTTGGGATTAGAGGTGTTGGGTTCGGGAGGGGTTGCTGTTATGAATTCTCTTTTTCTTTTTCTTTTTTATTAAGATTTTCAATTTTATAAAAATTAAGAAATAAATCCAGCTGTAAAAAAGTTTAATTTCTATTTTAAAATGAAGACATGGCAATATTTGAATGGAAGTATCACATGCTGACGTGATACATCCATAATATTCTATAATTTATCCCGTATCGGGTGGGTTGATTTAACTTTATCTATTAAATAATGGAGGCGTATTTAGTGCGGCGGTTGGATTCTTCCAATTTTCCCCAGCGTTGGTTCTCCGTCAACCCAATCGAAGACATTCAAAACCTTGTCGGGGGCGTGGTCCTACTGCTACAGACTAGTATTTCTTCAAATACCTCCGTAGCAGCCAGTGCCCCTTACATTTCCAATGGCAATGGGTACTCTGTTTCTCATTTTTCTTCTCTCTCTGGCCATTCATTCTCCACCTTCTTCTTCAACCTCCGACTCATTGAGCAGAGGCTCCTCCCTCTCTGTAGAGAAACCAGAAGATGTTTTAGTTTCAGCTGATGGTGTTTTCACTGCTGGCTTCCACCAAGTGGGCAACAATTCATTTTGTTTTGCCATTTGGTTCACGGAGCCATCAATCTCCGACCACTATCGAAACCGCACCGTTGTCTGGATGGCCAATCGTGACCAACCGGTGAACGGAAAACGCTCAAAGCTCTCCCTCCAAAAAACTAGTAACCTCATCTTAACTGATGCGGGTCAGTCCATTGTTTGGGCCACAACCACTACTTCTTTCTCACCAGCTCACTTGAGCCTCCAAAACTCTGGTAATCTGGTTTTACTTCACTCGGGGAGTGTCGTTTTATGGCAAAGCTTTGATTCTCCAACTGATACCCTCCTCCCACTCCAACCCTTCACCAGAAAAGCAACACTTATCTCCACCAGAAGCCAGAGCAACTTCTCCTCTGGTTTCTATAAGCTGTTCTTCAACAATGACAACCTTCTTCGTCTTCTTTTCGACGGTCTCGAGATTTCCAGTGTTTATTGGCCCGACCCTTCTCGTGTGAGTTGGGATAATGCAAGGAACACATACAACAACAGCAGAAATGCCATGCTTGATTCCTTAGGCAGTTTTATCTCATCAGACAACTTGACTTTTCTGTCAGCCGATTATGGCGCAAAGCTGCAGAGAAGACTGAGGATTGATTTTGATGGTAATGTTCGATTGTATAGTCGAGAAAATTCAGGAGAGAAATGGGTAGTTTCATGGCAGGCCATCTCGGACTCTTGCATGATCCATGGGATTTGCGGAGCAAACAGCGTGTGTAGCTATGACCCTGGTTTTGGTAGAAAATGCTCATGCCTTCCAGGATATCAGATTATAAATCATACTGATTGGTCTTTTGGGTGTGAACCACGATTCAATGACTCTTACACCAAAGTTAATGAGTCCAGTTTCCTAAAACTTTCTCAAGTTGAGTTCTCTGGTTACGATTATAGCTCCTACCAAAATCGCAGCTATGGAGAGTGCGAGCGCATATGCTTGGACCTGTATAACTGCAGGGGGTTCCAATACACATTTGACAGTGGAAGTGGTGTTTATAACTGCAACCCGAAGACGCAGTTACGAAGTGGTCGCAGATCGGATTTACAAGGATACCTTTATCTGAGACTGCCTAAAGCCTACCTCTTCTCAAATCACTCTGACACGAAGTACCTAAAACAATTTGGGCTTAATTGCGCAGACAGAGTTATTTATCTTGACCGGCAGTATGTAAAAAAGCTTGTTAGTAAGCCAGTAAAATTCCTGCTGTGGTTTGCCTGTGGATTGGGAGGGTTTGAGATCATTTGTCTCCTTTTGTTTTTCGGTTTGTTAAGTAGTAGAACCCGGAAAAGTTCCAAGCAGGATATGCATGATGGATACGTTCTTGCTGCAACTGGGTTCAAAAGATTTAGCTATGCGGAGCTCAAGAAGGCGACACGGGGTTTTAGTGAAGAAATTGGAAGAGGTGCCGGAGGAATTGTGTACAAGGGTGTATTGGCTGATGAACGAGTTGCAGCAATTAAGTTGCTTAATGAAGCTATTCAAGGAGAAGCTGAGTTTCTAGCTGAAGCTAGCACCCTTGGGAGGCTGAACCATATGCACTTGATAGAAATGTGGGGATACTGCTCAGAGGGAAAGCGAAAGCTGCTTGTTTATGAGTACATGGAGCATGGTTCCTTGGCACGCAATTTGTCTTCCAATGTTCTTAATTGGGAGAAGAGGTTTGAGATTGCTGTAGGCACAGCAAAAGGTCTTGCTTATCTGCATGAAGAGTGCTTGGAGTGGGTTTTACACTGTGATGTCAAGCCTCAAAACATACTCTTGGACTCGAATTACCAACCAAAGGTGGCTGATTTTGGCCTTTCCAAGCTATTCAACAGAGGGGAGCTTAAGAATTCGATCTTTTCGAGGATAAGAGGAACCAGAGGTTACATTGCTCCAGAGTGGGTTTACAATCTGCCCATCACATCCAAAGTGGATGTATACAGCTACGGGATTGTTGTGTTGGAGATGGCAACCGGAAAGAACCCGACAATGGGCGTGGATGCTATTGACGGGGAGCAGAGAAGACTTATCATGTCTGTTAGGGAGAAGGTAAATGGAACTAGTGCTATTGGACCACAGATGAGAATGATCATGGACCCCTCGTTCGAAGGTGAATACGATGTGGAGAAGATGGAAATTCTTCTAAGGGTCGCTTTACAATGCGTAGAGGAAGACAAAGATGCAAGACCAACCATGAGACAAGTTGTTGAGATGCTTCTGCACCATGACAAGGATTAAGGGTAACACCGTTAGGCAAGACGTTTGGATCTTATGAGGTTGAGAGGCTTTTGTGTGGTGCTTGGAAAGTCTAATGTGCTCAGCTTTGCTCAGCAGCAAATATGATAGTAGTGCTTTTGTTTAAGTCTTTCTTTCTTTGCAATATGTACGCAACTTCTCAGTTCACACTAACGAAATAATTGAGGAATTTTTGGATCATTCAAACAATGACTCTCTTTTTGGGTCGAAGAAAACTCCCTTAAAAGCCAAAGCAGGCCAAAAAAACAAACAGAACAAGGACCGGCACCCAACAAAAAGGGGCCAAAAAAGAAAAACAGCAACACCAAAACAAGGCAAGACAAAAAATAAGGAAAGTCACTCCGGTGGACCAGGGAGGCCATCGCTAGAAAGAACCAGTCTTACGGCTTCAAGATGAAACATAACCTGTCTGACACCGATGCCTCAGATGAGCCAAGTTAGGAACTCCTTCTAACACTGTATGTATTGGTCCTGGTCTCCGTCCCAATTGCAAGTAAAAATCTTTATAGCTGTGGTCCTACAAAACAATGACAGCCCCATGTTAAATATGTTATGGTCTGTTTCTCTTTTTTTTGGGTAAAGAGGCGGCTCTGTTTATGCAGGTTTCCTAACGCGTATCGGGCGGGTTGATTTAACTTTATTTATCAAATAATGGAAGCGTATTTAGAGCGGTAGTTGGATTGGATGTATATAATATAAGTGCGTGTCTATTGGATGCTTCCAATTTTCCTCAACCTTGGTCTCCGGCGGCAACGCAATTGAAGAAAGTCAAAATCATTGTGGGTGTTGGTCCTACTGCTACTACACACTAGTATTTTACTTCTGCAAATGCCTCTGTAGCAGCCAAAGCCCCGCTTTCATTTCCCATGGGTACTCTGTTCCTCATTTTTCTTCTCTCTCTGGCCATTCATTCTCCACCTTCGTCTTCAACCTCCGACTCTTTGAGTTTGAGCAGAGGCTCCTCCCTCTCTGTTGAGAAACCAGAAGATGTGTTAGTTTCAGCTGATGGTGTTTTCACTGCTGGCTTTCACCAAGTCGGCAACAACTCATTTTGCTTTGCCATTTGGTTCACCGAGCCTTCATCATCTGACCACTACCAAAACCGCACAATAGTTTGGATGGCCAACCGAGACCAACCGGTGAATGGGAAACGCTCAAAGCTCTCCCTCCTAAAAACTGGTAATCTCATCTTAACTGATGCTGGTCAGTCCAATGTTTGGGCCACAACCACCACTTCACTCTCGCCAGTGCACTTAACCTTACAAAATTCTGGTAGCCTGGTTTTACAGAAGTCGGATCATTCTGTTTTATGGCAAAGCTTTGAGTTCCCAACTGACACCCTTCTTCCGCACCAACCACTCACCAGGAACACAATTCTTGTCTCCATGAGAAGCCAGACCAACTTCTCCTCTGGTTTCTATAAGCTTTTCTTCGACAATGACAACCTCCTCCGTCTACTCTATGATGGCCTTCAGACTTCAAGTGTCTATTGGTTTGAGCCATGGCTTGCAGGCCAGGATGCTGGAAGGTCCACAGACAATAGCAGTAGAATTGCAGTGCTAGATTCATTGGGCAATTTTACTTCATCTGATAAATATACACTAATGGCAGCTGATTATGGTGCGAAGTCACAGAGAAGATTGACTGTTGATTCTGATGGAAATGTTCGGTTGTATAGCAGGAAAAAGCCCGGAGACAAATGGGCTGTTTCAGGGCAAGTCATTTCCGATCCATGTAAGATTCATGGCGTTTGTGGAGTTAATAGCGTCTGTAGCTATGATCCTGGTCATGGTAGGAAATGCTCTTGCATTCCAGGTTACCGTTTGATCAACCATACTGATTGGAATTATGGTTGTGAGCCTCAATATAATTACACTTGCAGCAAAGGTGAGTCCACTTTCTTTAAACTTTCAAAGCTTGAGTTTTTCGGGTATGATTATGGCTACTTCACGAATTACACCTACGAGGATTGTGAGAACTTGTGCTCGAAACTATGCAACTGCAAAGGATTTCAGTACTCTCGTATCCCTGGCAAACCGACTTATAGCTGTTACCCGAAGACGGTGTTACTCAATGGATACAGATCACCTAGCTTTTTTGGAGACTTGTATTTGAGAGTGCCCAAAAACCATTTATTATCTTACCAGAAGCCCCAAGAAGAGTATAGGTTAAATTGCCTAGGGACAGTTGTTGGTCTAGATAGAAATTATGTAAAAGCCAGTGTAACTGGTTCAGTGAAGTTCCTATTGTGGTTTGCCTGTGGAGTTGGAGGGTTTGAGATCATTTGTATCCTTCTGGTTTTGGGATTATTACGTAGTACCAAGCCAAATTCCAATGAGGATATGCAGGGCTACGTACTTGCGGCAACAGGATTCAAAAGATTCAGCTATGGGGAGCTGAAGAAGGCGACGCGGGGTTTCAGTGAAGAGATCGGAAGAGGAGCTGGAGGAATTGTGTACAAAGGTGTATTGGCTGATCAAAGAGTTGTAGCAATTAAGATGCTTAATGGGGCTGACCCAGGAGAAGCTGAATTTCTAGGTGAAGCTAACACCATTGGGAGGCTGAACCATATGCACTTGATAGAGATATGGGGATTTTGCTCAGAGGGAAAGCACAGGCTTCTTGTTTATGAGTACATGGAACATGGTTCCTTGGCACAAAATTTGTCTTCTAATGTGCTTGATTGGGAAAAGAGGTTTAAGATTGCCGTGGGCACAGCAAAAGGCCTTGCTTATCTGCATGAGGAGTGCTTGGAGTGGGTTTTACACTGTGACGTTAAGCCTCAAAACATACTCTTAGATTCTAATTACCAACCAAAAGTAGCAGATTTTGGCCTCTCCAAGCTATTCAACAGGGGCGGCCTTAAAAATTCAAGTTTTTCAAGGATAAGAGGAACCAGGGGTTACATTGCTCCAGAGTGGGTGTACAATCTACCTATTACATCAAAAGTGGATGTATACAGCTATGGGATTGTTGTGTTGGAGATGGTGACCGGAAAGAACCCGACAATGGGCGTGGATGTCATTGATGGTGAGCAAAGAAGGCTGATCATGTGCGTGAGGGAGAAGGTAAATGGAACTATTGATATTGCGTCAAGGATGGGAGAGATCATAGACCCTTCTTTTGAAGGTAATTATGATGTGAAAAAGATGGAGATTTTGTTGGAAGTGGCTTTACATTGTGTCGAGGAAGACAAAGATGCAAGACCTACCATGAGCCAAGTCGTTGAGATGCTTCTGCAGCTTGAGAAAGACGAATCTCATTAGAGTGCAACAGTGAGTGATGCCTTGCTGTCCTGGGTCCGTTGTCATGGTATTATTAAGCACTACATATCACATCTAAATATAGTTTATTTTTATTTTCTTTCAACTGTCAGTTGTCATGGTCTTAAAGGCTGGTTCCCAATATAGTTTCTTCATGTTGTGTTCCTGTAAGCTGTAACACAAAAGTCATCTTTAACTTACCTTTCTGTTTCCCCATTTTGAAAGCTATAGATGTATTTCCATGCAAGTATGGAATGGATTACAATTTTTGTATTCTAAAAAATATATATAAAAAAATGTAGTGCAGAACTTATAGTTTGGTGATTTAGAATTAGATCATTACATTGAGGGAGGTTGGGAGGTTCATCGAAGGTGAAGACTTTGCTTAAGTTTCTCCCATTTATTCATGGGTTATTCATGCGTTACAATCTCTTGAAACTTTTGATTTATTTTATGTTTTTGACTTTTTCTCTCTTTGCTGCCCTCAACAGTTGGGATGAATGGCTACTACGGGGGTGGGCAATCAGGCCGAGATTCCGAGAGCCAAACGTTTGATCTGATTTTTTTTATTTTTAAATTAGAGCTTGTCCAATATAAATCCCTACATTTTCTATTTTCTAGACATATATCCATCACTCTATAAATCTATGTGTAAAACTCAATTTCAAATTTAAATGACCAGTAGGATATAAGAGGTCGTAGTATTTTTATGTTTTTACATCGTTGCCACTAAACTTCATATTTTATTTATAATTTATTTCAAGCATTTCATTAACTGCCATAATTGTAATTAATATATTCCCTATTAATAGCATATCAATCACCCCATTTCTTTTAGTTGTCATTCCCTCTCACATCTCGGCCCCTAAAATTGCAAACAAACAAAAAATCTGTAAATTACATATCCAATAATTTACCTATGAAAAATATAATATAAATATATACATATAAATATATAGGTATATTAAAAAAAAAAAAAAAAAAAAAAAAAAAAAAAACAGTTACTTTGTAATTGTGTATATTTTTCATAATTAAAAATAGGTACACAATAATTTATATAAAATATAGGTACATTATTTACCCACAGGTAAATTATTTTACAATATACCTATAAATGTGTATAGGTACATTATTTGGAGAGGAAAAATAGGTACATTATTAGAGGAAAAAAATAGGTAAGTTATTTGGAGAGAGAAAATAGGTTCATTTAAAAAAAATTACTTTTAATAAAACAAATAATAGGTAATTTCGGTGGAGAACTCAACCAAACCGATCAACTCAGTCCGGATTCCAATTTGCAAATCATCAAACTACCGGTTCACCTAAATAAGACCGATGGTGTAAATATGTTAATAATTGAGGAAAGTTGGAGGTAAGAAGTTTCGAACCATGCCTCCCTTCAACGTGAAAACCAAAACCAAACCACACCACACTGCTTATTCCGATTAATAAGACTCCGGCATACGATTTTGGCTCAACACCAAACCAAACTAAACCGAGCCCACCCTAGTGGGTACACCTGGATTGTCTAATGAAACACATTGATCATGAAGGAAGTTGAAGTTCCATTCCAATTGGAAATTAGGGGAGTAACCCAACTCCTTACACATTCTCGTACGTGTGGCAAATTTTCAAGCCTAACGTGTGGACAACATATATTGGGTGATGTGGAGATACGTGTGGATTGGGAGGGATTGAGACTTTTTGTATCTTTATTGTGTGGTTTGAGAAGATTCAGACGTGGTTGCTTAAGGTTACATCCATGTTGCCACTGGATTCAGAAAATTCAGTTACTCTGAGTTGAAAAAGGCCACACGAAGTTTCCCACTCCTCACTTACACTCATTTTGTTGGCAATTGTATGTTCTCACTCCTCTTTTTTACACTTACACTCCCTTGTATGTGATAGTAAAAATATTTAAAAAAACAAAGGGGAATGTAAGGCCTTCTATGAGGGGCTAAACCCAAATTTTCCACCTCCAAAAAGTAACTATTTGGGTTTTGCCTGGCCTCAAGTCGTTTTTTCTCCCAACCCTCCATACTCAAATTTTAAGTCCGCAACTTTATTAAATTGTTTAAAAATGGTTTAAGTCTATATTTTTTTTTTTATGGAAAACTTTTCTTCATTTAATCTTTTTAAATAACGTCATAATTTAATTTTTTGAACAATTTGACCTAAATTTTTTTTTAATTCAATGAATTTAATTTTGGTAGATTAATTGAGAAATGAAAGGAGATTGATGAAATTGACAAAGGAAAAATAGATTGAGAAATAGAAAAAATATTTTTGGTAGATTAATTGAGAAATGGGTGAGTATTTATAGAGTTTGGAGTGAGTTTTTGGTTGGATCTTATTTAGTTAATTTAAAATATTATTTTGACCGTTGGATTTTTTTTTAACCATTAAAATAGCTTAAATTTAATCTAGATCGTTGATTTAAAGTCACTATTAGAATTTTTTTTTTAAAGGAAATTGGAATTGCAATGGCAACTTAAGCTGGAATAACACCAGTAGCTCGGGTCCCAATCTCTTTTTTAAAGTTACTATTATATATATTTTTTAAAGACATTTGAATTGCAATGGCAACTTCAGCAGAGCCGACACGTGGCATGTGCTGCGTCAGGCCAGTAGACAAAGCCACCAGTGCAAGCCCCAGTGTCTTTTCTAATGCACATGGGTTGTGCAATCTATTGGTGGGCTCCACTGAATAGTTTTTAGTATTTGGGTCCAAGTTTGGATTTTCCCAAATTTTGGCCCCTTCACTTTCTTGGGTTGAGAGAGGTTTTGGGCAATAATTTTGAATATTTTAGATTTAGCCTCTTGGGTTAGAGATGACCTAAGTAGACAAAAAAGAAGTGGAAAAATCAGCACCTTATTATATAATTAAAAAAAGAGAAAACTATTTATTGATTAGAGCATATGGTTGAGCTAAAACTAGGGATGGCAAAAATCCCCGCGGGGACGGGTCCCCGACCCTAACGGGGGGAGATTTTAGGGCCAAATGGGTATCGGGTACGGGGATCCCCTAATTTGAAAAATCTCCGACGGGTATGGGGAGGGGATGGTATTGGCGTCCCCATCCCCGAACCCGACCCGAAAATATATATGTTTATATTTAAATAAATAAATATATAATTATAATATTTATATTTAACCTTAAGTTAACCTCCCTCTCCTAATTCTTCTTGATTTTCTTTGGAATTTCATATGGAAGTGATTTTGAATAGTTGAGTTGAACTTTATAGTTAATTTGGATGTGTTGGATGATAAATTAATATGAAATTTAATGTTAAAATGCATAATAAAAAAATGTATGATAAATCAGGGATTCGATGCGGGTATGGGGAATAGTCCCCCGATGGGGATGGGGACGAGGACAGGGATTCCCCGAAACCTATTAAACGAGGATCGGTTCGGGGACAAGGGCGGGGATGGAGAGTGCGGACGGGGATGATATTGTCATACCCGGCCCCTACCCGACCAGTTGCCATCCCTAGCTGAAACTGATTGAGCAAATGGATAAACAAGCCTTACGGAAGAAAAATCCAACATATGCAAGTTTGGGCCTCGAGTTCGAAATTGGGCTCATGACCAGTCGTTTCAAAGAGGATGGCGAGATGAATGCAACTCACCACTTTGTTGTGACATATGGGCTTTTTTTAGTCAAATTTCATTGTTTTCTTTGACTTTTTAGCATTTAAAGTTTTTTGGATATTATTGGAAATTTTTGTATGTTCCCCTTTTTTTCTTTTTGCAATTATGATTTCCTAGTGTGCTTAGGGGGGTGGCAATTTCCTACATGACCCGTTACACAACTCGAAACTCACACAGAAAAAACACGACTCGAATCCGCACGATTACTAATTGGGTAATTTTCGGGTCAACCTGTGTAAGACACGCCAACCCACAAAAAAATATAAAGAAATAGAGACTTCAAAACACACATATGGGGTTTCAAACCCCCACCATCCTCATTACTCTCCAACACCTTATCCACCATGCTAGATACAACTTTGTGATTATATACTATGCCTTTTGATATTTATAATGTTTCTTTTTATTCTTTTGTTTTTCTTTCTTTCCGTCTATCTTCTCCTCCTCTCTCTTTTTTAATTTCTTTTCCTTCTCTCTTTTCTCCTCTCTTTTTTTACTTCTCTTTAGTTTTCTCTCCTCTTTTTTTTTTCTTTCTTTTCCTTCTCTTTAGTTTTCTCTCCTCTCTTTTTTATTTTTATTTCTTTCCTTCTCTCTCTCTCTCTCTCTCTATTTTCTTTTCTTTTCTTTCTCTCTTCTCTCCTCTCTCTATCCTTTTTTTTCTTTCTTTTCCTTATATTTTCTCTCCTCTCTCTGTTTTTTTTATTTAAATTTTTTCAGTTGTGACTTTTGTAACATGCATGTTATTATTTATCAACCCGTTACACGACTCGAAACCCGCACGATAAAAGACGACCCGAACCCGACATGACACGTTTATTAAATGGGTTGGGTTCGGGTTGAGAATTCTTGACACGTTTAATATCATGACACGACACGAACCCGACACGACCCGACCCATTGCCAGCCCTTGCCTATGTATAAAAGGGACCCATTAGTGTGTCTCCGGATCATTATTCGTTCAATAAATCTTCAGGTTTTACTCAAATTCCTAGTGGATTCTAGTTTTCTGATGTATTCAGGCCTTGTTCTTAAAGGTCATCGTCAATTTCCCTTTCCCTTCTAACACGATGAGTCATTTTCAATTGTTATTTTTATTGGTATTGCTAGTTTATTTTTGTTTCTATAGGGGGAGTTGTTAGGTGCCTTCATATGGTGGCACTCCCGACCTTGGGGAAATTCCATTGCGACGTCTAAAGACCAGTTTTTCTGAAGTGTGCGACTTGTGAATTTAAAAATAATAATAATAATTGGTGGGTAGAGTAGGAATAAGTGAACGTCAAAAAATTTCTTTATTGAAATTACAGCGTGACGTGCGGTCCTTCGTGCAAGTTGGAGCCTAATTGTCTTATCTATGCGCACAACTTTTGTTTTGACCATGGTTGATGGTCGCTTCTGATTTCCATTAAATTCATGGCTGCAACATGCCTCTTCCTTGTCCTTCTTTCTCTGTTACTATTTTCTCATTTGGCAGTTTCATCAGCATCCTGTACTGATTTGAGCGCAGGCTCATCTCTTTCAGTGGAAAACCCAGCTGATATACCTTGACTTCATCAAATGGCATGTTTTCAGCTGGGTTTTTTCAAGTGGGTGAAAATGCATATTCCTTTGCAATATGGTTCACAGAGCCATCCCCAACTCACAACCTCACCGTGGTTTGGATGTCAAACCGTGACCAGCCGGTCAACGGTAGGGGCTCCAAGCTCATCTTGCAAAATAATGGTAATCTTATTCTAACAGATGCTGGCAAATCCACCATCTGGTCTTCCAACACTATTTCCAATTCATTCACCAAATTACTTCTTCATGACAATGGCAATCTTGTCCTCCTCACTCTGCAAGGTCTTGCCTTGTGGGAAAGCTTTGCTTTACCAACAAACACCCTTTAACCTCAACAACCACTCACCAGAAACACAAAGCTTATCTCTTCAAGAAGCCTCACCAACTATTCCTCTGGCTTCTACTCTTTTTCTTTCGACAATGAAAACACTCTCCGCCTTCTCTACAATAGCCCCGAGCTTTCGAGCATTTACTGGCCTGACCCTTGGCGTGCAAGCAGGGAAGTTGGGAGGTCCACATACAACAACTCTAGAATTGCCATGTTTGATCATTTGGGCAGTCTAAGTGCATCGGACAATTTTAGCATTTCGTCAGCGGATTATGGTGCAAAGTTGCAGAGAATACTAAAGATGGATGCTGATGGTAATGTCCGATTATACAGCCGAGCACAGCAAGGAGGTACATGGGTTGTTTCATGGCAAGCCATTTCGGAACAACGCAGAATTCATGGAATTTGCGGGGCTAATAGTTTGTGCAGCCATGTCCCTAGTTTGGGTAGGAAATGCTCGTGTCTTCCAGGATATGAGATGAGGAACAAAATTGATTGGTCTTATGGGTGTCAACCTCAACCTGCAGGTGATCATTTCAATCTGTCCTGGTCCTGCAACAATAGTACTGCTGCTCCGGATGCGTTCGGTTTTATGCATCTTCCTCATGTTGAATTCTATGGCTATGATTTCGGTTTCTATTCAAATTACACCTTAGAAAGGTGCAGAGTTTTGTGCTTGGAATTGTGCAACTGCGCAGGGTTCCAATACAAATATGACCCTCGGGAAAATTGTTTCCTTAAGGCTCAATTGGAAAATGGACGCCGCACACGCCTGGTTTTGATGGAGACTTCTACTTGAAACTACCCAAATCCATCCTTTCCTCCTATAATGCTTCAGCTGAAGAATCCAATTATGTGTGCTCAGACAAACTCACAAGATCACTTGACAGAACGTACGAAAAAAGTGGTCCAAATGGTTCTGTTAAGTTTATGCTTAAATTTGCATATGCGGTGGGAGTAGCTGAGATTGTTTGTGTCTTTCTTGTTTGGTATTTTATGAGTAGAAGAACTGGCCGAGAAGATTCAGATGTGGTTATGCAAGGATACCATCATGCTGCAACTGGATTTAGAAGATTTAGTTACTCGGAGTTGAAAAGGCCACACGAGGTTTCATAGAAGTGATTGGAAGAGGTGGGGGAGGAACTGTATACAAAGGCTTATTGTCTGATCAAAGAGTTGCAGCAATCAAGCAACTGAATGGTGCTAACCAGGCGGAAGCAGAGTTCCTTGCAGAAGTGAGCCTCATAGGGAAGTTGTACCACATGAATTTGATAGAGATGTGGGGATATTGTGTGGAAGAAAAGCAAAGGCTCTTGGTGTATGAGTATATGGAGCATGGTTCCTTGGCAGAAAAGTTATCTTCCAATGTGCTTGATTGGAAGCAAAAGTTTGAAATTGCTGTGGGGACAGCGAAAGGTCTGGCTTATTTACATGAAGAATGCTTGGAATGGGTTTTGCACTGTGATGTAAAGCCTCAGAACATACTTCTAGACTCTAATTATAATCCAAAGGTTGCAGATTTTGGACTTTCCAAGCTACTAAACAGAGGTGAGCAGAGCAATTTGAGATTTTCAAGGATCAGGGGAACCAGAGGTTACATAGCGCCGGAGTGGGTTCAGAATATGCGCATCACTTCCAAAGTGGATGTTTACAGCTATGGGATTGTGGTGTTGGAGATGCTGACTGGAAAGAGCCCAGCTGAAATTGTTCAAGCAATAGAAGATGGAGAGGAGACACATGAAAAGATGATGGTTACATGGGTGAGGGAGAAGATGAATGGAGCATTTGCAAATGCAGAGAGCCAAATGGGAGATGATTATGACCAAGGTAGATTTGAAATTCTTGTTAAAGTGGCTCTTCAATGCTTAGAGGAAGACAAAGATGCAAGACCCACAATGAGTCAAGTTGTTGAGATGCTTCTACGTCATGAAAACAATTGATTAGAACGGTGGCATGCTCATACAAATACAATGGTTTAATTTCTTCTTTGCTTTTTTAAATAAACCAAAGGATTAGGCGAGATTAGCCCCCCGCCCGTCCCCTTTATCATAATTTCTGCTTAAATATACCTTGCCAGTGGACTGTATGATTTTGATTTTAAAGAAACATCATAAGTTACAAGAATAAAAGATGTATATGCCAAACTCCATACTTCCAACTTCCAAGTCTAGAACACAGCTAGGTCATTATGGGAATATACCTAGACTCCCATCCGGCAAATTGTTTGCACTTCCAGATGCATTTGTGGGATCTGATCCAAAAGAGCCTTGGGCTGGGTTGAGAAAATAACAAAGACAGAAAAGACCCAAGTTTATATAAAGTCCAAGCATATTGGGCCTAGGTGATAAAGCCTTTTTTTTTCTTCTTTAAAGTTTAGGATTTGAACTTTGGCATGTTGAAGTTTGGGCGAAGTTTTGCATTCTGGCGTTCGAGGTCTAAATTTTGACATTTTAGAGCATGAAGAAGTATGAATTCTCAGTCAAATTTCCTTTGAGGGTGCTGCCATGGTAGCTACTGCGTGGTCTCTTGGAGCACCCAAGACCAATTCTTTCTTCTTATTCTTAATCTTATTAGTTTAATAGAAGCAAAGGCAATTGGGTAGTTTTCAATCATATCAATGGTAGTTAGTTTGTCCCAACCTTAGTTTTTCTACGCTGGCGGCAACGACCAAGCAGCTATAGAATTTCTTTCGTTTTTAGCAGCTTCGTTATGAGCAGGAGATCAATTATTTTAATGTTTTCTTGGACAAAGATGAGTTATGTCACAAATACTATACGTCTGGTTGTGCAATTATGATATCTCATTTTTTATCTAAATCAAACAAAATAGTCCAGTGGACCAAGTCGAACACATCGTGACATACATTACATCATATCATATACACATATAAGTGTTTGACCTTCCAGACTAATCGTCACGAATTCATACAAGTTGTAACCTTCCTTTTTATAAATGCAACTGTCTTTGCTTCTTTGGGGATCTCAATAATTGGCAAAAGCTCTGTAGCACCGTTATGTGATCAATCATGGACGCCTATATGGTGTTTTTGTTTCTTTTGTTGACACTATTTTCTCAATTAGGATCATCAGCATCCTATAGTACAATGAGCAGGGGCTCATCTCTCTCTGTGGAAAATCCAGCTGATATTTTGATCTCACCAAATGGCCTGTTTTCAGCTGGGTTTTTTCAAGTAGGTGAAAATGCATATTGCTTTGCAATATGGTTCACAGAGCCATCCCCAACTCACAACCTCACCGTGGTTTGGATGGCAAACCGTGATGAGCCAGTCAACGGTAGGAGCTCCAAGCTCACCCTCCAAAAAAAAGGAAATCTTATTCTCACAGATGCTGGCAAATCCACCATCTGGTCCTCCAACACTGTTTCAGCTTCATTAGCCCGATTGCGTCTCAACGACACTGGCAATCTTGTTCTACTCACTGTCAAGGGTGTTGCTTTGTGGGAAAGCTTTGCTTCACCAACAGACACCCTTCTACCTCACCAACCACTTACAAGGAACACCAAGCTTCTCTCTTCAAGAAGCCTCACCAACTATTCCTCTGGCTTCTACTCACTCTTTTTCGACAATGACAACACTCTCCGCCTTCTCTACGATGGCCCCGAGGTTTCAAGCATTTACTGGCCTGATCCTTGGATTCTAAGTATCGTAGCTGGGAGGTCCACTTACAACAACAGTAGAATTGCCCAGTTTGATAACTTGGGCAATTTTAGTGCATCCGATGATTTCACCATTTTGTCATCGGATTATGGTGCAAAGCGGCAGAGAATAGTGAAGATGGATGCTGACGGTAATGTTCGAATGTACAGTCGAAAGCAGCCGGGAGATACTTGGGTTGTTACATGGGAAGCAGTTTTGCAACCATGCAAAATTCATGGAATTTGTGGGGCTAATAGTTGGTGCAACTATGTTCCTAGTTTTGGTAGGAAATGCTCATGTGTTCCAGGCTATGTGATTAGAAATAAAAATGATTGGATTTATGGTTGTCAACCAGAATTTAATCTGTCCCACAACAATAGTATTGCTGCTCGTGATCAGTTTGATTTTATGTTCATTCCTCGTGTTGAGATCTATGGGTTCGATTTCGGGATCTTTAAGAATTACACCTGGGAAAAGTGCAAAAATTTCTGCCTGGATTTAGGAAACTGTACAGGGTTCCACTTCAAATATGACACAGGTGGTGGTGGTTTTTATAATTGCTTCCCAAAGATGCAATTACGAAATGGATACCGTTCGCCTGGTTTTGTTGGAGACCTGTATGTGAAACTACCCAAATCAATCCTTTCTTCCTATAATGTCACGGAAGCTGAAGAATCCAACAATATTTGCTCAGACAAACTTACAAGAGAGCTGGACAGAATATACCAAAAAGGCAACACAAATCAGTCTGTCAAGTTTATGCTGGAATTCGCATCTGGGCTAGGAGCACTTGAGGTTGTTTGTGTCTTTCTTGTTTGGTTTTTTCTGACTAGAAGAAACGGTGGAGATCAATTAGATTCAGATGATGTTGTCACACAAGGCTACCTTCATGCTGCCACTGGATTCAGAAGATTTAGTTACTCTGAGTTGAAAAAGGCCACAAGAGGTTTCAAAGAAGAGATTGGAAGGGGAGGGGGAGGAATCGTGTACAAAGGCGTATTTTCTGATCAACGAATCGCAGCAATCAAGAAATTGAATGGTGCTAACCAAGGTGAAGCAGAGTTCCTTGCAGAGGTGAGCCTTATTGGGAAGCTGTACCACATGAACTTAATTGAGATGTGGGGATATTGTATGGAAGGAAAGCATAGGCTTTTGGTGTATGAGTACATGGAGCATGGTTCCTTGGCGGAGAAGTTATCTTCCGAGGTGCTTGATTTGAAGACAAAGTTTGAAATTGCAGTGGGCACAGCAAAAGGACTAGCTTATTTACATGAAGAATGTTTGGAATGGGTTTTGCATTGTGATGTGAAGCCTCAGAACATACTCTTGGACTCTAATTACAACCCAAAAGTGGCTGATTTTGGATTGGCCAAGCTACTAAACAGAAGTGAGTTTAGCAACTCAAACTTCTCAAGAATAAGAGGAACTAGAGGTTACATGGCTCCAGAGTGGGTTCACAATATGCCCATCACCTCCAAAGTGGATGTATACAGCTATGGGATTGTTGTGTTGGAATTGCTCACAGGAAAAAGCGCAGCGGAAAGTGTTCATGGAGTAGAAGGTGGAGGTGACACACAGAAAAGGACGCTGGCTACATGGGTCAGGGAGAAAATGAATGAAGCATTTGCAGATGCAAAGAGCCCAATAGGAGATGAATATGAAAAGGGTGAGCTGGAAATTCTTGTAAAAGTTGCTCTTCAATGTATAGAGGAAGACAAAGATGCAAGACCCACCATGAGCCAAGTGGTTCAGATGTTTCTTCATCATGAAAACAATTTATTGTAATTATTAAGGGTGACTTGTTCATAATAATGGTTTGATTTCTTCTTCTGCTCAGATCAATCTGACCAGCTGCCTGTGATGTTGGTAACAATACATGTATATATCTTGATTTCTTCTTTCTGCCCAAGTCTATAAAATTTGCATTATTGAAGTATGATAATCTATAAGCTCTTTGTTCTGGTATAGAACGAATAACTTCATTCTCAATTTTACATGCAGAAGCCTAAGAATATGCATCAACCTGTAATTCAAACAATGAAATGGAGGGCTGTTTGTCACTTTCGTTAAAACTTTTAATTGACACAGTATTGAGGATCAATGAACTTGAAAGAACAGGAAATTAACATTAAATTTTCCTAGACCCACACATATCAAATGTGTGAACAAGTTTGGGTCCCCCTCTTCCTTTGCCCTCTTGTTAAAAACACATAAGGCCCATCACCCTCACCATAAAACGACATAGAACGACTCTATTCATAATAGACGCACAATAAGTTCACGGGCTTTTGTAAACTTCCAATTAGACCACTCTACAAATAAATATTAAAGTTCTTAACCCACAATTAGTTTGGTTCGATTTGATTTAGCATATTTGGAAATCGTTTAAACCAACCAAATCACTTATATTAATTTCATTATTTTTTTACACTCTGACAAATTTGTTTGTTCGTTATCACATATATTAACGTGTGACATAATCAACTATTTAATACCAAAACTCAAAATTCCTAAACCATTCGAATTTGACTATAAGGTAAGAATGAAGTACTGTTCAATTTGCAGTATCAACTTTGGTTTGATATATGTAAGAGAAGATAAATATTTGGCTAATTGCTTGCTATAAAGATAAAATAGTTTCGTTTGATTATGCTACCATATAATTTGAGGTCTAATAAACCCAAATAATTTGAACCATTATGTTTTTCATTATTTCAATTTGTGATTTGAGCCCACCCTTTTGTTGTTTGATGAAGAGTGTATCTGAAAACTTTTTATAGTCAAAGATACTGCTCAATATATTTTAACATTTAAAAGCAGCCTCCCACTGCTTGCCTCCTCATTATTTATTTCCACTACTTGGAAGAACAAAAGTCTAACGGCTACAATGCTCATAATCACGTGTTTTCTTATTGCATGCATGAATAATTATTATTTTCTTCTATTTTTTTAAATTCATTTCAACTGTAGGATATGCAATTTGCATAATTTTTTTTTGGTTACATTAGTGGAAAGAAACTTAAGTGCCATGGCCCATGAGGGGCCACTGGTGTTCAATCCTAAGTGCCATGAGGGGAGGGGAATCCACACGGCTGTCGTGTGGACCCATTGGCGCAATTTGCATAATCTTTAATCCAAGGCAGATGCTTAATTCTCCCCGACGACAACATTTCAACCGCGGCGGCTGCCATTGCAACAACCCAAAACACACGAATGGTCAAAGGAGTAAAACGAAAAGCCTTTATATAGTTCAAGCGCCTTCATGCAAGTTGCAACCTTATACTT